TAGGGGGTGAGAGCGCCCCAGTCAGGTATCGAGTGTGCAACTCCCGGAGTTACCAATATCGCGGCCAAGGCGATCGCTTGAGATGTTACGGTCTGCATGTCTTTGCTGCCTTCGCTCCTCGCTACTATCTCCGCACCTGACAAGTGCCGCCTGGGAGTCAACTTATACCGGGAAACCACATCCTTCGGAGGCATGGATTTCGACTACCTCGAACTGAAGCTGCGTCCTGGGTCCTACTGCATATAATTGAGACGGCGTACGTTGATTGGTTGGTATACCTCCTTGCTCCATCAAATGAAGAGAGAATGTCTCTGCAGCCCAAGGTGGCAATTTAGAAACGGCAGATGAGGAGTATGCTACTAAATTAAGCCTGTCCCGAGCGTCCTGTTGGATGGAGCTAGATTTACCAATACAAAAACTAAAAGTTAACGCCAGGGGGGATGATATAGTAGTGGGAACCTCCCGCAAGGGGACTGCATACAGCAAGACCAGACCGGCTCCAACATGCGCGATGTTAGGTCTGATCTGTTCACAGAAGTTATTGTAAACCGGATGTTGTAATTACCAGAGACTTGGATCAGAGGATAGTGCTTGAATGGGTCAAGCTTTGTACATTGAAAAATGGTTAGGTGTCAGAGTAGTCAGATCTAGGAGACCGGTACCTGCATCCGAGTACGTATATTTTGTTCTCTGGGAGCACCCGACAAATCTATGTGACAGGGAAGAGACATTCTATTGGGCTTCTAGCCTCACGACCCAAGCCCACAGCACGTAATCCTCATGCCAGCGTACCGCCGTCTGCAACACAGAGAAATCATTGAGACAGCTACGCTACCACACCACCAGCACCCGCGGCAAAATCACTGCAACTCAAAGTTCCCACAGTTATACCTGCCCCCATCATCCGCATGGATCGTCACGGAGCGATTCCCAAAGAACGCTACCGAATCCGGCTGGTTGGACAGATACTTATCCTCGTACACCGCCGCGACAGTGCCATAGTCATCCGCGATGAGGAATCCGTGTTTACCGCTCAGATCACCCACGCCACAGGTCTGGGGCTCGGCCGCATTGCAGGGATCCTCCTGGGCGTTGTAAGGGTTAAGAAGTCCTGCCGTGCCCTTGCAATCACCGGATTCGGGCATGGGTTGGTAGTGGATGTGGTAGACTGTGTTTATCTGTTAGCAGAGTTGGGGAAGCCGAGGGGTGGAAGAAAGCAGGTGAGCGCTGGATTGGGGAAATTACGGTATCTGCTTGTTTCTCGAAGGCCAGAGAAGTGCAGTTTGATCTGCACGCCGGTGTTGTTTGGCCCCGGCGATGCGGTCACGACCCCTTCGATTCCGCTGTGCGGATCCCGGAGGATATGTGCCACGTAGGTGAGGTCTTGATTGTTGGTGATGACGGGGGCATCGGGGTTGGATTGGACGGGGGCTGCGGATGGGACTGGGGCTGCGGATTGGACTGGACTGGCGGAGGCGAAGAAGGGGAGGGCGAGAGCTGGGAGGAGAAGTGTGGAGGGGAGCTTCATCGTGGCTGGTATGGTTGGATACAAGGTCGTCAGGGTCTGTGTAAGGTAGGAGCGTTTTTAGCCAGGTCAGCTAGGGATGTTAGCCCTCTATCGTCGTGGGATTTTATATACTCTTGCTAATCCCGCGTAACAGCGGGGTTATGACTTATTGGTAACTTGGAGTCCTGTAAGCAGCTTGGGCCAGCAAGCCTTCGAACGTGCCGCAAGGCCCAGCAGGCCCTAATCCAATTCTGTGGGTTTCTCGCATTGCACCTGTTCCTTACGCCGTCACCGACATTCAATGAAGCCAGCCTCCTTGATTGGGGTCTTGCCGTCTGGATAACTCAAAACGCCCCCACCTCTCCTTGCAGGAACTCCTTGCAGGAACTCCTTGCCGGGCGACTTTCGTTCTGAGTAGACGGAATGTAGTCTCCAGACACTCGGGTTGGTGACTTACAATTGTCGCTTGTTGCCACTGCCAGGAGGTTGACCATGTTAATTGTTTAATATTAGTAAGATAGGTATACTACCTCATATCTTAATATTTCTATAGGGTCCAGTAGATCTTCTTAGTTCTAAATTCCTCACGCAATATTGAGATGCGTTTACGTTAATTTTGTATCTACGGATGATCGGAGTCCACCCCTTGATATGCCGTGTCAAAATGAGCTCCGCTGCGTCGCAGAGCACGACAGAGAAATTTCTGTCTTCGTCTAAGAGAATCATGGGACTTGCAGAGGCAAAGATGTCATGTATTGTAACCAACAGACTTGATATGCGCCTCTTGTAGATCTGTAAACAAGGGAGTATGGCGGCAGCAAGGTGGAGTAAAGAGCCTTTGAGAATGCCACTCGCGTCCCCAGAGCCCAACACAAGCACACAGGCGTTCCATTTCTTACAATACATTAACGACAGTGCAGATGGAATGAATATGCGCCCGCCTTGCGACAATGTCTACTGTCTTGGGACTCTACAGGCCAATCGGAGCCTGCACAAGGTAATACAAAAGTGTACTGTCAACAGTGCATTCCCCGCCTTCATTGGACTTGATCAATGCTAGACAAGGTTAGATCGCCGTCTTAAGCCTGGTGATGTAGAGACGTTCCTCCACGTCACCACACCTAATGGGTATCTGAATTATATATTACTGTCAAACTTCGAGGAGACCAGTTTTATGCTCTGATGTAATGTACCCCTGAGTATACAATTAGTGAGTCTAAGAGAGTCATCTATCCCTGCTCTCCAGTATCTTTTCGCATCGACTGCGGAACGGTCAACTATGGCTATACTCGAGGTCATAGATCAGCTGTTCCCCAGCGCCTCGTGGGCGATAGCAGCTCTCTTCTTGGTCCTGTGGAAGTACCTGTCGTTCCCAACGGAGATCCCCGTCATCGAAACTCGAAAAGGGCGGGAGGTCTCGTATGCCAAAGCCAAGGAGCGCTTTACAGCAGGCGGGGCCTCCTTGATCCGCTTTACGGAGGCGAAAGTGCGTAGAGACCTTCCCGGTGCCGGCAGTACTATCCTTGCTGACCCTATGACCATAGTTCAAGGCCTTTTTTATAATAACCGACCTTGGTGAGCGGTTGATCCTCTCCGGCCAGCGCTACGCGCACGAGCTGCGCAACGAAACACGCCTGGATTCTGGATTATTCTTGGAGAAGGTAGGTGGTAGTCGGATTCGAACAACAGTGTGAGTCGCGCGCTGATTGTTTCCTCGACAGGATCTATATACAACCCTACCGGGATTCGAACCGTTCTCGAATGGGCGCAGACATGGCCGGATCACCCACGATATCGTGGCGAGGCTGACGAGGACTATCCGTAAGTCCCTATTGACATTGAGCGATCACTTCTAATGTACCAATTTGAGATCAGCTGCCGTGGTGCAGCCTATAGCCGAGGAAGCTTCGCAGAGTATCCGCGAAGTATGGACGGATAAAAAAGGTACTTCTCTCCCCCAAGAGTCGAAGCAAGTCCACTCATAGCTCACACGCAACCATCAGAGTGGCACGCCATCGACATCCAGCCCTCTCTAGCAAGAATCATCGCCAGTGTAGCGGGCCGCATTTATATCGGCGAGCAGTTGAGCCGGAATCCTCGGTGGCTGGACGCAATCCTCAGCTACACGGGCAAGGACGTGCTGGCCATCTATGTGCTGAAGAAATGGCCTGAATGGACCATTCCTCTGGTCCACTGGCTGTTGCCCTCGTGTCGCAATCTGCGCAGACGCCAGCAGGAGTTGAGGCAGCTGCTGCTCCCCGTAATCGCCCAACGGCGCGAGCAGCGGGCCAGGCAAGCGAGCAACAAGGAGAAACCGCAGCTCGACATTCTGGATTTTATCGAAGAGTCGGCGCACCGGGGCGAGGCCTATGATCCCGTCATATCGATGATCGCCTTCTTCTTCGCCACCATCCCCACCGCGTCGGATCTGCTGACCAAGGTGATCTTCGATATCGTCTCCCGGCCGGATCTGGTCGCGGAGCTGCGGCAGGAGGTTATTAGCGCAGTCGAGAGCCACGGATGGTCCAGAAATACCATCCACAATCTCAAGCTGATGGACAGCGCCATTAAGGAAACGCAGCGCCTGCAGCCCGTGAGCTCGAGTATGTCTTCAACTCCATCCTCACAATAGAGACAAGACTAATGCAAACCAGTCCTCATGCGCCGCCTCGCAACCGAAACCTTTGCCTTGAAAGACGGCACCGTGATTCCAAAGGGCAAGATCGTCGGGGTCACAATCCACCACATGTGGGACGCCGAGCTGTACGCGGAGCCCGAGAAGTACGATCCCTACAGGTTCCTGCGGATGAAGGAGAATCCAAGCCAGGAACATAAAGCCCACGCGGTTGCTACGAGTGTGGAGCACATGGGCTTTGGCCATGGCAATGCGGCTTGTCCTGGGCGGTTCTTCGCCGTGGCGGCGGTCAAGGTCATATTGAGTCATATCCTAATGAGATATGAGATCAAGAGTGTGGAGAGTGAGATGCCACAAACATTGTCGGCGGGAATCTCGTGTATTGCAAATCCAATGGCGCAGCTTATGGTGAGGCGACGAGAGGAGGAGATTGCACTATAATGTTTTGGGGTCGAACTAGACTAAATCTTATTATATCGCAAGCTGGAGAGTGTGCTCAGTGTATTAGTCGCATTGCACTGCAGCATTGCAGTACACGTACAACCTACGCCTCATCTAATTTCCACTGCAGGGTACCAGTCCTGTTATCCCGTACACAGAATCGAATCAAAACAGCTAGCCTGGCCTCCATTTCACTTTTCAATTTGGCAGATGGCATAACTAGTCTTTCCGTGTTGTTCAATATCTACACTGTCTCCGAAGGATACACCCGACTGATGATGATGAATTCATTCTTGTTTCTAGCAGGCTCAAGATCCGTATAATAGTAATTGCAGCTTGTAATCTGGTGTACTTCTATCCAGCTATATATACAATATACTAATATTATATAAATTATACACTTTATAAAACCGTTCTATAAGTTTTTCATCCACTAAGAGCTGTATATTAAGATCTTTAAAATGGGTAAGATACTGCATGCGAACGCGGTAACCGTTCGCCCATTCACCCGTCAGACTGTACCCGACTGTCAAACAAATATATATTTTTTTCATCAACCAAGCCGACACATTCCTGGATCCCACCCTGCTGCCCAGATCCTTCTATGCACCCCCACCACGACTCTAGCTAAAATTCTTTACACTCTTACACTTGATACTGTCAATCGACAGCTGTGCGAGATCCCTATACTGCTGGCGGACATCAGGCGTCGACGCCGAGAACTGGAACTCCTGTCCGAAAGTGCCGCCGGAGCAGTCGCATGTCCTGTGCTTTTATCAGCCGCGTAGTCCAAAGGCTAACTAGACGGTTCTCGTCTGACTTACTCATAGAAGCTGCATGTGATCTCTGGGCCGGGAATCACCATCGAGCCAATGCCGGCAGTTTCGTTCCTAGAATGGGTGGGGTCAGTCGGACTGACAGAATACCACGATTAGGTGGGATCCATAGGTAACTTACATTCCGTTGTTGACGATCGTCAGGTCGACGCAGCTGTCGGAGACGGGGATCCGGGCGGTGGTGCCCTGGTACTCGATGTCGGAGTAGACGGCGGCCTGTTTTGACATTGTTAGATGGTGCTAATTGTGGGGGTTTCATTCAGGTTTACCGCTGGAATGGCCTCGGGAACTGGACCAGCGGATACCCGCGAAAGGGCAAGGGCTAGAGCAAGGCTGGCGAAGACTGCGCGGAAGACCATGTTGGCGGGGCGGTGTTTCGTGGAGGTATCTTGGTGGAATCTCGTGGAGATGAGGTACTCAGATAATTCTCTGGTGTTCTCGAACGAACTAGGATGTTTTGCGGTGTTATAAACCACTGTTACTGTTGTCGCCACTTTAATGGCTTTGACGGCAATCAATTGCGGTGTACAGAGATTAGTTTTTCCGCTGTAGCCCGCTCCTTGCTATGCAACTGGCGACTTCATCGCGAGAAGCTCATGCGAAAGGGGGAGTCAATGATCTCTGCATCTCCCATAGTGTCCTTGCGGGTTACTCGATGTGAGGGTCTAATGCCAAGTCTGAGACGGTGCACATGCCAAACCTAGACCTGACAATGCCAGGGGTACGCCTGCGAAGGACGTCTGCCATTGCCGGTCATAAGAATGCCTTACTTGAGTGAAGAAGTGTCTCAGATGCTGCCCCTTGCTGCCCTGGCAGAATATATTTGCCGCTGGCAAACGGCGGAGGTGAGGGGGAGAACGCACTGCTCCAGCGGTCAGGGTGCCGTTCGAGCATGAAGCACTGTCATTAGGATCGCTGATGTCTCCTGCAGCTGTTTGAAGTCGAAGTCCACTCATTTATTTCCTTGCAGCCGCAAGGATACAGGATTTGATGATCTCTATCGAGTGCTCTCCGTGTTCAGACATTCTCAGCGGGGCCTTCCACGGAAGGATGCTATCGAGGGGGTCCTGGGTGGAAGAACAACCGAGATTCATAATTCCTGATCGTCTCTCGGGTGAAGACGGAGTAAGGGCCTTGTAGATCTTGATGTGGACGAGGAGGAAGATATCTAACCTGAGTAGTGGTGATTTTTAGAGTACTCTTCCGAGGATGTACGACCACGACAATCAAGGATTCCGCGCTCTCCGGTCCCATTGCTACGAGTACCATTCCTGGCAGCATAGTGTCTCTATCCAGCGTGCCCCATCCAGTAACTCGGTCCTTGTGCCAGATGGAGACTGCCACGGATGCCGAAAAGAGCGTGCGAGCTGATAGACATGCTCTCGCCGAGTTACCAATCGCTGGTACCCCATTCGAAGAGTTGCCCTATGATGCCCCAAAGGCTGAAGAGACAGATGGCGTCTCCGAGGATGAAACCCCGGGTATTTGGACGATAGTGTGGTTGACGACCGGCCTGTGCATGGGCATCTTCTGCGTTGCCTTAGTATGCGAAACTCCGACCATCTCCTCTGAAGCATACCTAAATCGTTCATAGGACAACACAATCCTCGCGACCGCGATTCCCAAAATCTCCCTGGAGTTTGAGACCATCAGCGATGTCGGGTGGTATGGCAGTGTCTACTTCCTCACCATCTGCTCGGTGACCCTCTTGTTCGGGAAGCTGTACACGCTTTATCCCCTGAAATGGACCTTTTGCGCGGCTCTGTTCCTGTTCGAGCTTGGGTCCCTGTTATGTGGTGTGGCTCCCACCTCGACCGCGTTGATCATTGGACGCGCAATCGCCGGTCTGGGCAGTGGGGGCATCTTTCCCGGCGCGGTCCTGATCATGAGCGAGACGGTGCCGCTGGAGAAACGAGCCCTCTACAACGCGTTGATCACGGGCATGGCTGGGATCGCTGGTGTCACCGGGCCCCTGTAAGCTGTCTTTCACCCGCTCTGGATCCCTCAATTTCTAATGCTTTATAGGATCGGAGGCGCCTTCACCAACCACCTGACCTGGCGATGGTGCTTCTACATCAACCTGCCTTGTGGCGCTGTTACAGCTCTGGCGGTTCTTTTTTCGTATCATGACAAGGAACGACCGGCGCGTTCGCAGCTGTCTTGGAGGGAGAAGATGGGCCACCTTGATCTCTGGGGACTGCTCATCTTCGTCCCCGCCATTGTCTGCCTGTTCCTGCCGCTGCAGTGGGCTGGCACCAAGTACCATTGGCAGAACGCCCGGATCATCGTGCTGTTTATCCTCTTCGGAGTGCTCATAACCGTCTGGGCCGCAATCCAACGGTGGAAGCAGGAACGGGCAACGGTGCCCCCGCGGCTGATTGCAATGAGAAACGTCTGGGCCACAGCGGTCTACACCGTCTTCTTCTCCGGCTCCTACTATGTGATGGCGTACTACGTGAGTCTTCCACCCCCGCCAAACAATGGACCCAAATTCACGATCTCTGACACGATAGTAGTTCCCAATCTGGTTCCAAGCCGTCAAGGGCGCGTCCGCCATGTCATCGGGCATTATGAGCATCCCGATGATTGCCGGCATCTCCCTGTGTACCTTGATCGGGGGCATTGCTGTCAACATGATAGGCCACTACATGCCCCTGATGTATCTGGGGACGATCATCCTCTCGATCGGCTGCGGGATGTGCAGCACTCTGACCGCGACCTCCGGCCACCCGGAGTGGATTGGCTACCAGGCCCTCGTCGGCATCGGGGCGGGCTTCGGCTTCAACATCCCTCTCATCGCCGTGCAAGCGTCGCTCCCGCCTGACGATATAGCGACGGCCACGGCCATCGTCATGTTTGCGCAGAACCTCAGCGGCGCGCTGTTCATTGCCATCGCGCAAAATCTGTTCCAGAACCGACTCGTCGCGGCCGTGGTGCAGTATGCGCCGGACGTGGCGCCGGGGGATGTGATTGCCGCCGGTGCGGCGGAGCTGGCGAGCTCTTTTTCGCCGGCGGTGCTGCCCCAGCTCAAAGACGCGTATAATGCGGCGACGACGCAGACGTTTTATCTTCCTGTTGCGGGGAGCGCGCTGTCGATTTTTGGAGCGGTGTTTCTGGAGTGGTTGTCAGTCAAGAGGGAAAAGACTGCCAAAGTCCCTGCGGTTGTGCACTGAGTTAGGGTTTCCTGGGAAGAACGGCTTGTATCCTAGATATCTAAATCTCTCCTTCAACTAGATCGTGTGGTTGGAGTACGATAAGTCCTTCCCACCTAGTCCTATAGACAAGATGAACTTAAAGGAAGTCCAAATTGAGCCGACTGTTCTGTTTGTCCTAGTATTATCCATGGGATTGTGACTGCCTTGAATAACCAACTGAGGAAATAGTTGCCCCATACGCAGATTTTACCTCAGCTAGTTCGTATCTTCGGAGTACGATAAGGCTTCCCCCCGGCTCCCATGAAGACGATTAACGTAGAATAAGTGACGATTGAGTCCACTGTCCTTTTCGTACTGCTCTTCTCCATCGGGTTATGATTACCTATTGGCTATCCGAGAAGAGAGACTTCGCATACGCAAATTCAACTCAGTTACTGGTATTCATGAATCATTCCATACATTCCAAGAAATTGTACCCAGATTCAAGACCCATCCTTGTGCCCCTCTTCTGTCTTTCCAACAACGCGACTAGACTATGCCTCCGGCTTCCTCGCCACGATCAAAAACATGGGTGAAAAGATGCCCAACGCTCCGCCACGGTACATGCCATCCAGAATAGTGACCACCAAATCCACGACCTTCTGCGACCCGGCCGGGAAAAGCGTCAGCTGCTCCAACTTACCCACGACGGCCTGCAGCCCGCGATTGACCAGGGGCGAGGCGCGGGCGGCAAAGAAGACGCTCAACAGCGCAAAGGACAGCCAGCCCTGCTTCTCGAGAGTCGGGTCACTCAGCTGAGTCTCCCAGGGGATCTGGTCCGGGCGGGCGCCGAGGTCGTCGATGGCGAGGATCTCAAAGCCGACGGCCTTCATGGCGGCGATGGCCTCGGCGGAGGTGTGGATGCGCGCGAGCCCGCCGCCGCGCTCGATGTTGGTCTTGACCTCGCGGTGGACGGGGTTCGCCTCGTCGTACTTGTCCGTCAGCAGGGCCTCGTAGACCCCGAACCGCGCGCCGGGCTTCAGCACCCGGAAGATCTCCGAGTACACCTCGACCAGGTCGGGCGCGTAGCAGGTCGACTCGATCGCGTACGCCCCGTCGAAGGTCTCCGCCGCGAAGTCGTCCATGTGCAGGAAGTTCTGCTCCACGAAGTTCACCTGGTACCCCAGCCCGGCCTCCTGGGTCAGCTGGCGCGCCTGACGCAGCTGCTGCGCGTTGATGTTCAGCCCCGTGATGTTGGCCCCCGTGAACCGCGCGATCGATCGCGCCGGGTTGCCGATCCCACACCCGACATCCAGGATCTTCTCGCCTTCTTGGATGTTCACCCGGTGCGCCAGGTAGTGCTCGTGCCGCACCAGCGACTGCGCCATCGGCTCGTTGGGCGAGAGTCGGCACAGGTGCCCGCACATCCGCCCGGACTTCTGGAAGATCGAGGTCACCAGGTTGTAGTACCTGATTGTCGTGAGTGCGAGGCAAGGTGAAGGAACGTGGGCGGGAATGGGACTCACTGAATGGAAAGGGCATCTTGCGCGGCTTTCCGTTGCTTCGCAAGAGTCAGCACGGCTTCTGAAATGGAACACAGTGGAAGAAGACGTAGTCTGTACAAACCTCCAGCTCTTCAGGCTTCTCCTGGTGATTGGGATCGGCTTGCTCGGGATTCCACACGCGGAAGTACTCGTCCGCATCTTGTTGCATTTGACCCATGGCGAGTTTTTGGATAGGAGAATGGATAGGCTTGTGGTTGAGGATTCTCGTAGTTGCAACGTGCACCGTGAGTATCTCACTATATAGATAATATAGATAGGAAAATTGGAACGACAGTGAAGCCAAACGACTGCCGGTAGTGCCAGTCTTCACTCCCTTGCCTCGTGCTGATGCTTGCCACCTCCAGAGGATACATAAACTGCTCCTGGCAGGATTGAGACACCGTTTCACCGACTTTCTAGGGTTGTCTGCTATTAGGCATGGTGCTGCACAGGGAGGGGAACACCCCTCACTGCCACATTATTGGTGAGGATAGCTGCAAGCCGGTCTAGCCCTGGCAGACGACAGAATACCATTGTTTAGGTTCATTGGTCCCCCTTGCGTCCTTGACGCCGAATGTAAATCCTCATCCGACCAACCGCCAGCCGGCTTTGAAGGGTAGTCGGTGTCAATGGGCTGTGCGCTAGCACAGACTGACATGTGTGTGCACTACACTTACCGTCGCGATCCATAAGAACGAGATTTAGAGAGTGGCCATACTGATAGGGTGCTGGAAATGGATTGCCACGGGTTCATCCATTTTACTCTTGGCTATGTTGGAGCACCCCCTCAATAGACTGTCTTACGTGGGTCGGATTATATCTCCAAGGCGTGGGAAACTACCGCACACCGGGGAATGGGACTGGCTTGGACATGGCGGGTCATTGCTGAAAGCTCGAGATACACTAAAGAACGTTCCGATGCTGGAATTGAGAATACAGGCTGTCGGGCTCAGGATCGGGAGGAACAAGAAGTTTTGACCATAAATTTGTAGTCAACAACAGTTAACTGCGGTACATCGAGACAACAATGTAGCTACCACGATCAGACGATATATCACCTTTGAGGTACAATTGCATCCAGCCTAATCTCACTCTCCCTCGCAAGAAGGCCATAGTCCAGCCACTATTGTGAAAGTCCACCCTCCGCTCAAAGCAGTAGCATCCCCCCGTTCGTAGCCAGCGTCGACCCCGAGTTATACCGGTCCTTCATCAAATACAGATACGCCTGGGCCACGCTCTCCGGGGTCCCGACCTGGGCGACCGTGGACTTCTCCTTGGCCATCTTGACCGCGAGATCCGTGGCGCCGCCCAGGATATCACGGACCGCCTCGGTGAGCACCGCCCCGGGGGCCACGACATTGACGCGCAACGGCTTCAAGTCCACCGCCAGCCCGCGCGCCATCGCCTCCACCGCGCCGCAGTATCCCGAGATGACCGTCCATCCGGGATCCGGCTTGAGACAGTGGGCGCCGCTGGTCAGCGTCAGCGAGTTCCCCGCGTCCTGCTCCATGTACGCCGGGAGGTGCTTGGCCACCATCAGCGGCGCCACCAGCCGGATCACCCCCGGCCGCTGGACGTCGGCCACCGTCAGCCCCTCCAGCGCTGGCGGCTGTGTCATGTCCGCCGCCGTGATCACGACGTGGTTGATCTTGCCGTCGCCGGCGGCCAGCGCCAGCAGTCGCTGCACGTTGGCTTCGACCGTCTCCGGATCGCCCAGGTCGCATTGCATCCCCTGGATCCGGTCTGCGGCGGAGTGCGGGCTCGATTCTTGTAGACGGGTCAGGGCCTGGTCGAGCTTGGCCTGCTTGGAACCCGCGATGGTGACGATGGCGTCGTGCTCAACCGCTGCTTCGGCGACGGCGAAGCCGATCCCGGACGTGCCGCCGATGACCAGCACGCGCGTGTTGCGCAGCTGGTCGGTATACTTTCGGGCGCCTTGGGTCATTGTGCTTTTGGTGGAAGAGGAGCTGTAGGAATAGGAGTATGGAGGCCCTGCTGCGTGAACGGAGGTGCAGAGAAGGGGGGGTGAGCTGTTATCAGTGAAGTCCCTATTCAAGGCCTCTATCAATCGTCATTACCGAGGTTCATAGGGTTACCTATACTCGAGTGGGAGCCCCTTGATCGGTGGATGAGGCATGACGCTGTGTCTGCAAGTAAGTGCCTGGCTTCAGGTAGAGCTACATTGTCTTGCGCACCACGCATATTTTTCGTCCAACATGAGGGAGACAGTGCACGACGCTAGGTCTGTTGGAAAGCAAACAACAGGGGGGCCAACTGCGAAGACCCTTGCGTCGCTTGGCACTTTTCCCCTTCACCGCAGTTCCGGACATGCTACACATGAGCGAAGACAGCGAGTGAGATATGGCCTCCTTACTGACAATCACACCGGTAAGATAGCCCTTGCAGGAACGCTTTTCGATAAGTGACGCAATTCATAGCCAGGCAATCGGACAGTCTAAGAGAAAGTGTATAGAGGCCTACTACCTGTCTATCGCACCGTTCGCGTTCCCAGTCACTATCGCAGCATTAGATACAGCAGGATGGGTTCCATCGGCGAAGAAGTCCAAGTCATCATCGTTGGGCTCGGCATAGTCGGGCTCTCGGCAGCGATCGAGTGCCGCGAGAAGGGCCACAAGGTCCGAGCCTTCGAGAAGAGCGATATCCTCAAGCCTATCGGTAGGACTCCCCACCCGTGGCTCCTTTCTGATGACTGCTCATGATGTTGTTGGTGGGGTAGGCGACTGTATTGGCCTCCAGAGCAACGCAACACGCATCATCGGACGATGGGGCAACGGGGCGATCCACGAAGCCCTCCGTGACTGGGTCGTCACCGCAAAGGAGATTCAGATCCACAACTCGTCCGGCGGCCGGATCATCCGCCAGGATCTCTCGGAGGTGTGCAAGCAGCACAACTACCTCCTGCCGCGCTCAGAGCTGATCCGGGTGATGTATGAGCACGCGCGCAAGATCGGCGTGGAGATGACGCTTGGCGTGGACGTTTCCGACCCTGTTGAAGATGAGCAGGGCGCCAGCGTGCTCGTCACGGCGCGGGATGGCACAAGCGAGCGAGTCCGCGCGGACTGTGTGATCTGCAGCGACGGGGTACACAGCAAGATGCGCCAGGCGATTATGCGTGGGCAGCCCGTCGAGCCGCGGCCGTCGGGCTATGCGGCCTTCCGGGCGTTGGTCGATATCGACCGACTCAGGGCAGATCCAGAGGCCAGCTGGGTGTTTGAGGGGGTGGAGGAAGCCGACCGATTCGACGTCTTCTTCCTCTCTGGTGCCCAGATCGCCCTGCAGTCGTGTAACAAGGGCAAGGTCTTCTCGTGGTTCTGCATCCACCAGGTATGAATCTGTGTAGCTATACGTCCCATACTTGTGTCTACACATGTTGACTAACCACGGCTTCAGGACACGCGCAACCTCCTCGACGTCTGGACCTCGACGGCCGACCCTAACGAAATGCTCAACCTAATCAAAGACTGGCCCATCGGCGCGCGCCTCTGGTCTGTTATCCGCCACACACTTCCCCAAAAGTTCATCAACTACCCGCTCTTAAACCACGAACCGCTATCGCACTGGGTCTCCAGCGGTGGCCGCCTCATCCTCATCGGCGACGCCGCGCACCCGCTCTCCCCGGCCGCCGGGCAGGGTGCATCCCAGGGGATCGAAGACGCCAACGTGCTCGCGACCACGCTCTCTCTCGCGGGACAGGACCAAGTGCCCCTCGCCCTCCGGGTGGCGGAGCGCATTCGCTACGCGCGGGCCTCGGCTGTCCAGCTCATCAGCCACCGTTCGAACGAGGGGTGGCGGAACCAGGACTGGGACGCGTTTGCGGCGGACGAGGAGAACGTGGCCTCGCTGCCGCTCGAGACGTGGATCTTCGGGCATGATAGCCAGGCGTATACAGAGCGGGAGTTTGAGAGGGTTGCCAGGGCAGTCCGCGAGGGCCAAAAGTATCGACCGACCAATTTGCCGGAGGAGCTGTGGGGGGAGCTGTCGCTGGCCCAGTATGCTTAGGGTTTACCATCCTAGAACAATAGAATGCACGTATCTTGCTTACTGAGCATATGGGATACATCCATGCAAGCTTTAAAGCCTGTACGCAAAAGGTAGGGTCGGGCTGAAAGATGACTCTGCCTGCTGACCGTCGGAGGCCCAAGAACGCATACTTAGGGCTACCTCCTTCGAAAGCCCTCCCGGGGGGAACGGATCCTGCTACATGGGGTACGGATGGAAATGGCGGTCACTTTGTAAACGCAAAAAGGCTTCAACTAGATATTCTTGTTATAGTAGTGACTATCTCGGCGAAATCAGCAACGTGCAAGGGGGCAGTCTACGGTGAGCGACACGCATGCTAACTGATAAGTGGCGCTTGCCAGGCCGGCCATGAATTGATCCGCTTAGTAGGAAGAATGGTAATAGACGCTGAAATACGGCCCCCCTTTGCTCCAGGCAAAAGAGACGTATTGAATGATATCCGTGGTCTGCTCGAGGTCGACGCCGGGGCTGTAATGAGACAGGTTAGCATAAACCGCACACACTTAGGACAAGGTGGGTAAGGCCTCATACAAGTAGTCCTGGATCGTCTTGATGAATCCTTCGCCCGTCGCCGTCAATCCAATGTGCTGCATGAATTTGGCAATGCCCTGCGCATTCTGGAGATCGTTCTCTCCGTTCATGTCCACGTAGAACTTGGGCATCGGCTCGTCGCTGTTGGGTAGAAGCTCATAGTTCCAGATTCCCACGGGGCGTCGGTCCTGCGAGAATATTAGTATGTGTAAGAAAGCAGACAGTGTTTGAAGCTTACCTGGCCAGGGGTCAGGTACTCCCAGAGCACCCGCATATACTCCAGGCCCTTTTTGTTGGTCTCGCGATCCATCAGGCGACCCCCAAGCGTCCAGATCTCCTCTACCTTGGTCCAGGAGATGTCCAGAAGTGCTCCGTAGACCTTCAGCCGCGCCTTGGCCGAGTCCACACAATCGAACCCGACAAACGAGTACTGGTTATAGCACTGGCCTTCCTCCATGTACTCGTTGACAAGCGATACCACCCGGCCGCAATCCGGCACATTCTGACCTTTAGTAATGGCCTTTTCGAGCAGCTCACTCAGCCCAGTGTCCCCCACCTTGCACTTCAGCGCGGGGTAAAGATAGGTCTTGACCGTGACCGCATCCCCCTTGAGATCCAGCCCAAACGCCGCCTGCGTCTTGAATTTGGACCCCTCCAGCTTCGCGCCCCCCAGGTGATCACTCTCCTTCCGCGATAGCGTCAACGTGCCAATCAGGGTATGGAACAGCGACGGATCGAACCCCGCAAAGCCCAGTCGACCCATCTTATTCAGCACATTTGACACGGTAACCATGTTGTACGGATCCCGTGCACCGCCAGAGATTGATGAGGCCGGCTCAAAGCCAATGCGCACGGTGGGCTGCTTGCCGGGCTGGTAGTTGACGCTGAACTCGACGGGGAGCCCCGAGTGGGTGATCGAGGAGTGCCATGTGTGCGGGTGGGGCCCGAAGTTGGGGATCATCAGCGTGTTGTACAGGGTCAGGAACTGGCATTGCTGCGGGAGAGTGTAGTCGGCCGAGGAGAGGATTCTCGAAAGAAGAGGCGCGGTGCGCGTCCACCATTTCTCCTCGGCGTCGTTGGTGAAGTCGAGGGATCTGGTTAGGGAGGTGTAGATTTCTGGGTCGGGGTGTTTGGGGGTTTGTTTAGGAGCTGCTCGGGGGGTGTCGGGTTCGATGGAGACAGTCATGTTTATCGTGATAGTAGTATTAATGTTGAGAAAAGACCAAGCTCGTATATGGAGTAAGATAGGGAACTAGAACTAGTGACTTAGACGGGCTCGATTGATGAGGAAGCTAAGGAAGCTCGGCTACCGAATGCGATATATATATATGTAGATATATACACAAGGCACTTGCGGTGAGCATCGTGCATGACCATCGTACACTGATTACTTAACTCATGGCTATGGCCTGGTAGGCCTCGGAATTATTGAGTACTTTGCCATCCGAAAAGCCTTGTATAATCCTACTAGAATCTTCTTTTCAATTGAGTACATAACATATCTTTCTTGTCTTATACAATCTATATATCACTGATATCAGAATTATAGCTATAATCGATTTCTTCTTCTTTACAATATACAGGCTGGTTCCAAACTCTCAGAACACATATAATTCGTGTTACAGCCTTTTGTGCATCTGGAATATATCCCTAGGTGTGTGGAAAATCATAAGGATTTATTCTAGTGATATTACAAGCTCAAGAAGTATTATCCTTCGGACCTGTAGCTGAGTTATAGTTGGTTCAGCTGTTTACAAACATTGTTGTTTACTACTGTGCCTGATTCAAGCGCCTTGATGGCTCTTCTATTGCTATTCACTTCTGGAAAGCTCTCCGGCAGTGCCATCTTGTTAGTGTAAAAAGTATATCCACCACTACAGTGTTTTCATAACTAGACAAGCGAGGTAAATCAACCACGTTGGATGTGACTTATTAAGGCGGTGAACTTGCCACTTCTGATTCCACTGACAAATCATGCACAACCTCGCTGGGTGGCATGAAGAGTTTTAGAATCATACAGTAACCTGCAGACTGCAGTGTTGGTAATTTCTGTCCAGCAGTAGCCCCCTTAGGACATCGAAGCTCATAGACACGATTGTCGCATATTCCCATGGACAATGCATTGTTGCTGGCTCATTTTTCCTCCCTAGCTCTTCAGGAACAGCCACCTCGCCGATCTGCGGTTTCTAGACACTATAGATCGACCAGATACTTACTGCAAGGAGCACGGGGCTGGCTTGCATGTGGTCTATCTATACCTCGAACGCACTGTGGCCCGCGCAGTAACTACTTTAGGTATGGCTGTCGCTTGCGCTGTGACGTGTCACATTCCATCACTTGCAGCTGCACGCCCCTCACGAGTGCTGCATACACACTGCATATTCCCGCAGATGCTTGCAGGAAGCCCGCAGAGAACTGCCCAACACCTCAAATCTCAATGTCGGGCACAAATTCCGCGCGAGTACCATATTTAACCACCCTCCCTCCTCACCTGCAGCAGCCGATGACAAGCCCCTCGCGCCACCCCCCCCTCCCCCCCACCACGACCACCTCATCATGCCTTCCCGGAGCAAGGGACTAACCGTGGCTATTCTCGGATGCGGTAAGTAAAAACCCTATCAATCATCTCAGCCATCTTTCTTACAACATCCCTGACCGAACTAAAAAACCCGGGCAGGGAAGATCGGCCAAGCAGTGCTGCAGGGCCTCCTTGCCGCTGCGCTGCAGGCCCCGACCACGACCAATGACAGCGCCACCAACCCCCACCCCCTTGTCGACAGCATTCAAGTGACGGTCCGGTCAGACGCCGCAGTGGAGCGAGTGTCGCACGCTACGCGCCCCTTCCTGGCCGGGGCCGGAATTGGATTCCCTGGCGTCGAGATCTGCAAAGGCGACCGCAATCGCGCCATCGCGCTGCGCGCTGATATCGTTCTGATCGGCTGCAAGCATACCGCGCTGGCAGAGCTGTTGGCGGACCTGCAAGGAGGGCGAGGCGATCTGTGCCGATCCCATGGTCGTGATAATGATCAGATGATCGTACCTGGGTCCAGCCCTCGGGTCTTGGTGAGTCTGGTCGGCGGGGTCTCCGCTGAGACTATCGCGAGGCAGATGAATGGCCAGGATAATGGCGATCAGGGCTGGCTGGTGACGCGGGCCGTCTGCAGCGTTGCGGCAGCTGTGCGTGAGTCGGTCACCGTCTTGTCAGATACTGAGGCGTGGACGACACATTCCGCGGCTCGCGGTCTGGTCACCGCTTTGTTCGAGCAGGTGGGTATTGTGCGATGGTTACCGGAGAGGCAGATGCATGCCGCGTCGGCGCTGGGATCGTCGTCGGTGGCCTTCTTTGCTGGGATCATCGCTGCGCTGGCTGAGGGGCTGGGGGCTGAAGGCGATGACGAGACTGAGAATGAGGACGATGCGGCTACGCTGCCCTTGCAGGTTGCATTGGAGATTACGGCTCAGGCTGCTCGCGGTGCGGCGACGCTTATTCATCACCAGCGCGCGCCACAGGAGATCGTGGCTCAGGTCTCAACGAAGGGCGGTGCTACGGAGGCTGGGTCTGCGGTTCTGGAAAGCAAGAGGGTGATGGAGGGTCTACGGGAGTGTACTGTTGTTACTGCAAAGGCGACGGCTGGACTGGGCGCAACGAGCTCGCAGGGTCGAGGTTAATCTCAGTCATACAGCTTCTACATGGGACCTCTAGGTGGGATGGCTTCGAAGAGTATGAGATATAGATAGTCTTTTTCTGCATCTGGAACTGAGAACGACAACACTAGAGCTAGAATGTGAAACCCCGAGCATTCTCTGTATATTGGAGCATTCTATAGACCTTGAATACGCTCATCACGAGTAATAAGAACTAGTAGGCCGTTGCCAATCGTTGCTGGTGATACTGCAAAGCCGTCATCTCCCCATACGCCGCCGGCCTTTCCTCGGTGACAAACTGCGGCAGAGGCGCAACGGAGGCATCCCGGTCCGCCTTGAGGAAGAAGGCACAGGACCGACGAGAGGCAATCTTCCCCGAGCTGAGATGCTTCATGGTTGGGGGAATAGTGACCTGGTGCACGCCCGGGCGGAGGACATTGTTCGTCCACAGTTGGAACGTCTCGCTGATGTTAACCACCATCTCCGACCGTTTCCCCGCAACAATGGGCAAGAAGGAGTTAGGGTTCGTGCGATCCTCCATCTCCAGTCCGCCCTGGCCGTCTTGAAAGAGGCAGGTAATCACGCCGAGGTCTGCGTGGGGATGGATGCGGCTGACTTTGTTGCGGGCTAGCTCTTCTATATCGATTGTCGGGTAGTGGTTGAGACGTAGCTCGCTGGAGGATCCTCTGCATTTGTCGACTAAAGAGCCCTGGGGGAGGTCGAGCCCCATCTCGATGCTGCGCATGATGGTCAACGCGGCCTCGTGGGACTTGATGTAAAAGTTCTCCATAAAGGACTGGAAGCCTGGCAGGGCGTTGTCCGGCCAGCGATTCGCGAAGGTCTTATCATGCGGTGACCCTGCGTCAAAGTGCTCCTAAACCGTATCATCAGGATCCGTCCATGAACAAGGTGAACAGAAGACTCACCCGCGCATCTGTGAGATCGATGGAGCTGGCCCCACGGCTGAACAGCCGCGATGTCTTCTCAGCACCCACGCAGCTCCATCCCCGCTGTGGAGTTGGACCTGCCGGATTGGCAATGGCTAACTTCTGCTCTGCTTCCAGTTGAAAGAACCGTTCATTCTAACTCGGTTAGTAAGACGCTATTGTGCATTTAGGGCGGAGGGACACACGCACCCACATGAATAGCTCGTCGATGAGCTCGTCAGAGAGCCCATGGTTGACCACTTTGACAAAACCACATCGCAGCACCGACTGGACGAGTTCGTCCGCAAAGTCTCTTTGCTCGTCATGTGTGCCGGAGATGAAGCGCGAGGCGTCGACAGTACTCTCCCGGCAGTGAGCTGCTCTGTCTTCACATAGACTACCCATTTTATATTGCGGTTGTGTTGAGTCCTACCTAAGTACTGCTAGTAGCTGGCAACCGCGCACCCATGTCCTCTGGTGAGGTTAAGTAGCTCATTGACAGCCGTCGAATACGCAAGGAGACTCGGCCAGATCACGGGCAATGATCGCATTATTCGGGCTCCTTCCGTTAACCGGCAACTACCTAAACGGCTCTTGGACGCCTCGCAACGTGTCGTGGCATAGTGATGTTGCTCTATGCCGATGGTGGGTTTGATACGGCATCAAGGGGTGTCGTTAACGAGTGGATCCACATACCTTGCCGCAAGGAGAAACCAACCGACTTTTTGCCTTGGACGGACCTTCCAACTGCCGTGCAATATCTCTACTCCGACCTTGCGTTGGAATATCGCTCCCAGGCAGGTAGTAGAGACGAAGGGCGAGATCGTCCTCTTGCATCGCAGTGGGAAGAGGTGACTGGAAGGAAAAGTAAGGTGCTGTCGGATCGGCGTAGGCAAAGGGACTGGAATCCTGTCATGCTAGGTGCCTATCATCTAGGTATGCGTATGAGTTAGGGTCTAAGCCCGCTCTAGATATTGTGTTTCATATCATATGCATAATCTCGCTAGCTAGAAGGTTCTCACAGACGGCCCTCCGCTGCGGCGTGGCTGTCGGAAACACGCGAATTCGCCCTTTGCTTACTATCTTCATCGCGTGAGTAAGACCCGCATGACACTCACTCATCACCGACTGCCGACTCGTGCAACCTTCGTGCGTGATTCGACGGTCCAGTTCCACGTATATCTGGCCCCGGATGGCCGCGGCGAGGCCCAGTTACGGGCAGAGCCATTTTCGTTGGCTGGTGTGATTTGGGCCTGCTTCCTGTCTTCTCTGCATCCTCCATTTTTTGTCTTGCCGTTATACCCAGCTTTCGAGAAATGTCATTAGATCGTTGGTTAGCGGTGTCGATACCGTGCCCGTTGTATGTACCCCCCTCAGGAAGTGATGGACTCCGGGCATCCATCTATGGGGAGACGAAGGCTTTGGCCTTGGCTGGGAGCCTGGCTCCGGAGATCTATGTGCTTGGATGGGCTGTTTTGATGGCGAGGTACCAAGGCTCTGTGAGTCTCATACTGAACAGTCAACTACAGCCAAGCGATGGAAAGTCTCTTTCATTGGAAGTGGACTTGTCGCCGTCCGCCTCGATTGGAGTCGCTATTGACGCTATCGCTCGAGGAATACTCCCAATAGACGTCGTAAATCCCGAATCAGGCACTACAAGGGATACCAGCAGACCATCAACAAGCTTTCTCCTACCGTGGAAGCATCCACGCAAGCGGAGGAGTCGAGATCTCCCGTCACCTGCTAAGAACGACGTGCTCCAACTGCGACTGGAGCAGCAGAGGAAAGGATGCGCCTGCCGAGCCGTCTACGACGAGTCCAGATGCAATCCCCGTGATGCACAGCGAATTGTCCAGCAGTTTGTGCACGTTGCGCAGGAGCTGCGTAAGATCGGCCGGGATTCTACACTCCAGCAAGCTTTCACCCTCAGCTTGAACGACAAGCGTCAGCTGTTGAGATGGAACTCCTGCCCACCACCCCCAATTGACAGGTGCTTTCAGGATCTGTTCATGGCGCAGGTGCAATTAGACGGCGGACGAGCCGCTGTGTCAGCGTGGGACGGGGAGCTCACATATAAGCAACTCGATGAACTCTCCTCTCTGCTGGCGGCCGAGTTGCAGCAAGAGAAGGTGTTACCAGGGACGATTGTCCCGTTGCTCTTCGAAAAGTCCTACTGGATGACGGTCAGCATGCTGGCGGTAGTCAAGATCCGCGCCGTCGCGGTCTGTCTATGCAGCACCCACCCCGACGAGGCCATTGAAGCCATTCTCAAGCAAGCTTGCCCTCCTGTCATTATGGCTTCGGAAACGCAAGCGACACGGCTGCACCAGATGGGTCGTGATCGGGTCATTATCCCACAGTCCTGCACTTACCCTTCGACTTCTCCTTCCTCCCCGATTATATTTACCCCGGCGAATCCGGAAGATGTCGCTTTCATCGTCTTCACGTCCGGTAGTACGGGCACCCCGAAGGGCATTGTTCTTAGCCACCGCGCCATCAGCACCGCCGGCCATTATGTCGGTAAGCGCATGCAAGTCAGGCCCGACTCACGAGTTCTGCAGTTCTCTTCATACGCCTTCGACATGAGTATTATTGAGACGTGGCAGGCGTTGACCCGCGGCGCGTGTCTCTGCATCCCGTCGGAGACTCAACGTTTGAACTCGATGCCCGACTTCCTTCGAAGTCATGGAGTCACTTGGGCGTTCTTTACCCCCTCAACCCTAAGAAACTTTGAACCTGCGGACTTCCCATCCCTGAGGACCCTTGTGATCGGCGGCGAGAGCATCGGGCAGGACCTCGTCCGACGATGGGGCACTCATGTCCGAATATTCAACCTCTGGGGCCCGGCCGAAGTGGGCCCGTCCGGCGCAGGAGAGATTGTGCCTGCGACATGGATTCCAGGCACCATCGGAACCGCGGCCGGTTGTATTGCGTGGATCACGGCGCCCGATGACAGTGACTGTCTTGCACCCATTGGCACGGTTGGGGAGGTCGTGATGGAGGGCGCAGTCATCGCCGAGGGCTACCTCAATGACCCAGACCGCACCGCACAGGTTTTCATTGACCCTCCGAAGTGGCGGTCACAGTTCGATGATATTCCCATTCAAGGCCCCTTCTTCAAGACGGGCGATCTCTGCCACTTTAACGCCGACGGCACCTTCCGCTATCTCAGCCGCAAGGACACCTATGTGAAGATCAGGGGCCAGCGCGTCGACACCGATGCCGTTGAACTGCGCTTCCGCCAGCTGGAGCAAGGCGTTGAGATTGCCGTCGCAGCTGTGACCTTGAAGAGTGACCAGGGAGCTACGCTGGTAGCATTTGTCGCTAATAGTGCTGGCGCCGAGGTCGACTGGAGCGATAGGCGAAGTAGCCCTAAATTGGAGACGTTGCCTCCGTCTTGCGCGGCGCTGGCTCGTCGCTATCAGTCCACTCTCCGCCCACACCTGCCTCTCTACATGATCCCTTCGTTCATTATCCCGCTTAAGACCTTTCCTCGCACGGCAACTGACAAGGTGGACCGTAAACGGCTCTGTGGTCTGCTCGAGACCCTCACAACAGTCGAACTGACCACCTGGCTCAGTGCGCGGCCAACCTTGTGCCGGGACTCGGAGTCACGATCTGTTCTGACCGGGTCCGAGCAGCAGAACTCGCTAACTCAGGCAGTCGGAGCAGCCTTTGGGATCCCAGCCCCCTCAGTCAACCTCGACCTCAATTTCCTGCACATGGGAGGAGACTCAGTCACGGCGATACGGGTCGTTCGAACGCTGGCAAGGGAGAACTGGCAGCTCCGCGTGGAGTACCTCCTGGCTGGAGATACAACCCTACGCACGGTGGCTGATAAGCTCGAGCAGGACGATGCTGGACGGGTTCAACAATCGACCCCTCGACCTTACAGCCTTTTGGATAATAAGAGCATCCCCACACTACTTCCACTCGCGGCTGAGCAGTGTCAGATTACCGAGTCCTACATTGAGGATATATATCCGACAACCGCGCTCCAAGAGGGGCTTGTCGCAATTACTGAAACCAGTGGATCAGAAGCCTACACTGACCGGTTTCTCTTCACTTTGCCCCCCGACTCCGACGTCAACCAGGTCAGGAAGGCATGGGCGACTGTTGTGCAGACCACCACTATCCTCCGGACGCGCATTATGCAGGCGACGAATGGCCAAACTTACCAAGTTGTGTGCAAACCCGACTTGACTATCCCGTGGCAGTCCGCCGATTCCGTATCAGAATTCCTCCACCACGATCAGAGTCGACCAATGGGACTGGGCTCACCACTGATCCGCTTGGCCCTTATTCAGTCGTCTACTGACAGTTTCCTGGCGCTGACCCTACACCACGCGATATATGACGGTCCCACGTTGCACTTGTGCATTCAACGGGCAGAACAGGCCTACCGGGGGCAGCAATTGCCGCGCAGTGACTTCGTCCGCTTCATTCATCATCTCACCCAAACCGCCACGGACGTGGACACGGCTCGGACGTTCTGGCAAAAAGAAACACTGCATCTCAGCAGTGTACTGTTCCCCAAGCATCCCTCACCCGAGCATGCTCCCCGCGCCACCTGCGCAGTCCATCATGACAGCCCGCGTGCCGCTGCATCCAAGTCGTTGCCGCTGGCCAGTCCCACGGCCAAAGTGCGGCTGGCCTGGGCCCTTCTTCTCAGTCTGTACACCGGTTCAGAGGACGTTGTCTACGGTGCGGTGGTGGACGGACGCCGGGCTCCTTTGGCCGACATCGGGAGCATCGCAGGCCCAACCATAGCGACGTACCCAGTGCGTCTTCTCCTCCAGCGCGAGCAAACCGTCCACCAGGCTGTTTCCCACGTCCAGGACAAGATCCACGCCACTACCCCATTCGAGCAGACCGGCTTGCAGCAGATCCGCCAGATGGGCCCCGAGGCCGAAACGGCCTGTAAATTCCAGAATCTGCTCATCGTGCAGGCGGAAGACACCCTCGCGCCGTCGCCGATCTTCGGCCCTGTCGAGGAGCATCTGGGCGCGCTGAACAGTTTCCCGGGCTATCCCATGATCCTGCTGTGCACGCCGACCAAAGGTGCCTGGAAATTTGAAATGCTGGTGGACGAAGAGGTGCTAGCCCGCAACCAGGCGGAGCACATGCTGTTTCAGCTGGGACACCTCTTGCAGGAGTTGGATAATGTTCACAACCAGGATACGCCGCTGTCTCAGCTGAACCTGGTCTCCGCGCAGGATAACGCCATGCTCACGAAGTGGAACGGCTGCCCTCCCGTGCAGGCCTCAGCCTCGATTCCGGACCTGATCCAAGCCCAGGTTGGACAAAGTCCACGAGCGTGCGCCATCTCCGCCTGGGACGGGGACTTGACCTACCAGCAGGTCGAGGACTATAGCATCCGGCTCGCGCTGCAGCTTGACCCTCTCGTCCGCCGCAGTGGCGCGCAGTTCGTTCCGATCTTCTTCGAGCGGTCCAAATGGGTGCCCATCGCCATGCTGGCCGTCTCGATGGTCGGGGCGGCCTTTGCGCTGCTGGATCCCACTCATCCGCAGGAGCGCAACGCGCAGATCTGCGGCGCCGTCGGCGCCACCGTGGGATTGACCTCGCCCAGCCAGCTGAAACTGGCCGGGACGATCACCGACGCAGCGTGGATCGTCGTGGGCGACAAGAGCTTCCGCCCTCCCCCGCAGGCCAACGGGTATGGGTATCCAGCCCGACTGCCTTCGTTCCCTGCGCCGCACGACTTGCTGTACGCCGTCTTCACCTCCGGATCCACCGGAACCCCCAAGGGCGTGCTGATCGAGCATGGCGCGTACTGCTCGGCCATTGCCGCACAGCAGCCCAAGCTGGGCATCACGGCCCACTCCCGCGTCCTCCAGATCTCCTCCTATGCGTTCGACTCCTTCGCGGTGGAGATCCTGACCGTCCTCGCCAGCGGCGGATGCGTCTGCATCCCCTCCGACGAGGAGGTCGCGGGGGATCTGGGCGGGGCCGTGCAGCGGTTCCAGGCCAATTGGCTGTGCATCACTCCGTCGATGCTGCGGCTGCTCACGCCGGAGGCCGTGCCGTCGCTGCGCACGGTCGTCGCGGTGGGCGAGTCTATGCTCCCCGGCCAGATTGCCCAGTGGTGCGAGCGCGTGCATCTCCTGTGCGGCTACGGTCCCACCGAATGCTGTACGGGGGCGACGGCGCAGCGCATCACCGCCAGCAAGATGGACCCCCGGATCATCGGGACGGGCATGGGCTGCCTGCTGTGGGCGGTGCACCCGGACGACGTGAACACCCTGATGCCGGCCAACACTGTGGGCGAGCTGGTCCTGCAGGGTCCGATCGTCGGCCGAGGGTACCTGAACGACGCGGCCAAGACGGCGGAGTCGTTCCTCGACCCCCCGGCGTGGGCGGAGAAGTTCCACCCCCAGGGCGCGAGGATCTATCGCACCGGCGACCTGGTGCGTCTGAACCTGGACGGCACCTGCAGCTTCCTGGGGCGCAAGAACCAGCACACTAAGCTCCGCGGCCAGCGGCTGGATCTGGCCGACGTCGAGCGTCACCTCCTGCGCGCGTTTGGCCCGGAGGCCAACGGCATGGCGGCGGTCATCCGCCCGTCGGGCAGTGGGACGACCCCCTGTCTCGTCGCGTTCGTGCAAATGGCCGAGCTTCCCGGGTCCGGGTCAGAAGTCGTCAATGGAGGAGCATCGTCCCAGAATGCCCTCTTCAGGCAGCAGACCCCCGAGTTTCAGGCCCGAGCGCGCCACGCCCGCGACGAGCTCCGTCTCACCCTGCCGGCCATCATGGTGCCGGAACTGTACCTCCAGGCGCTGGACCTACCGCTCATGGTATCGGGTAAGGTGAATCGACGCCTGATCGAGAGTCAATGTGCCGAGCTGGGCGCGCGAGATCTGCATGCGCTGGGATCGCTGGAGCGCACCGATGGGCATGCCGCGGAGGAGCTGCTGCGTGAACATCACGAGCCAGTCGCTTGGGCGATAAGCCAGCATATCGCCGGAATTATAACAAGGAAAACGGAGCGGGACGAGCTGGCCGCGTCAGTCGCGGGTCGCAATGTCGACCTGTCGCGCCTCAACCTGGACTCCATCGATCTCATGGCCTTGTCGCAATTCGTACACCGAGAGTATCAGCAGAGGCTTCCTATGGCGACGCTCTTTCGGAGTGGTCTCACCGTCCGTGAGGTCGCGGAGATGATTACGGACGGTCCGGAGAGGATCATTAATGGCGCCAATGGCGTCAATGGTGTCAACGGCTCAAGTGGCAGAGATGGCAGCAATGGTATTAATAGCATCACTGGCATAAGTGGCATGAATGGCACGAATGGCATGAATGGCATGAATGGCATAAGTGGCATGAATGGCATGAATGGCACCAACGGCATCAACGGCACAGATGGCACAGACGGGCTCAGTGATACCAATACCAGCGATGTTAGCAATGGAACGAACATCACCGACAGCACCAACAGCACTAATGAGACTCCATCCACGCCGTCGTGGTGGAGGAAAGTAGCCGCAGCGCTCCAAGAGGTGCGCGATTTACCCGGCACCGACGACTTGGCCACAGACCTCCCACGCGGCAAGACCGTCTTCCTGACCGGGGGGACGGGATACTTGGGAACGCACATCTTGCGGCAGCTGGTGCGGGACCATCGCGTTGCGACGGTCTATGTTCTGGTCCGGGCATCCAGCCCTCAAAGCGGGCTTGCACGGATCATCCAAGCCGCGCGCACGGCTCGCTGGTGGCAGGACGACTATCGCCGCGTCATCGAGGCATGGCCGGGAGACCTGGCTCAGTCGCGCCTGGGGCTGTCGGCAGCAAACTGGGGGGTGCTCTGTGGCGAAACCGTCGACGCCATCATCCACAACGGGGCCGTCGTCCACTGGGGGTATGACTACGAAGTCCTCGAGTCGGCCAACGTCGGGAGTACGCTGCAGCTGCTGCAGACGCTGAGACCTTCGTCGAAACCGGTCAGCTTCACCTATGTCTCTGCTCTGGTGTCCGGGGACGACGCCCAGTCGTCAGATTCAGACGCGCATACACCGCCGCCTGATATCCCGGACGGTTACACACGCACCAAGTATGCCTCCGAGCTGCTGATGACGGAGTTCGCACGCTCTCGCCCCTCCCATCGACTGAAGATCGTCCGTCCGGGATTCATCATCGGATCTGTGAACGACGGAGTGGCCAACGTAGACGACATGCTTTGGCGTGTCGTGGCTACTGCGATGACGACTGGGACCTACAACGCCAGCGAGCCGGATTCGTGGCTCTTTGTCTCGGCCGTGGACTGGGTCGCCAACCTGATCGTCTACGAAACGCTTCACGCGGCTCCAGCACCATCGTCGCCCGGGTCCACCGTGGCCCGCATCTCCATGACAGATGGCCTCTCCATGCGGGACTTCTGGCAAGCAGTGTCGCTCGGGCTAGGCCGGAAGCTCAAGCCCTGCCCCGTGTCGTCGGAGTGGATGGCAATGCTGGAGGAGCAGATCGATGTCGTTGGCGCCTCGCATCCCCTCCTGTCGGTGATGGACTTCCTACGCAGCACCGGCGGCTGCCTGGGAACGCCTCCAGCGTCCTCATCTTCCGAGGCGTCGCCACTCCCCGTGCCCACGGTCCAGGCAGCCTCGCTGACGAACATGATCTGTCAGGCGGTGGTGCGCAACGCCGAATACCTGGCCTCGCTGGAGGGGTTCGCTGCTGGAAGTGGCCTCCACTCGTCGGCGGTCTTCACCCGTCGGAATAAAATTGTTGTTAGTGGGGAGCAAAAGGCTGTCTGATCGCTGTCGAATGCTTCGCAATCTGTTTGGTTCTTGATATCTAGTATTTCGGGTTGATCTCTAATCAAGCGTGTATGTATATAAAAACAATCCATGAATTTGATCTTAATATCTGGTGCTTTTGGGCTGGTATCCGATTCAGCATGTGTAGAAGTAACGCATGGATACGATCTTAATCTACCGGATTTGATGATTAATCTCTATCTGGGCGCGTAGACAAAAATCCATTAATTCAATCTGTGAGCATTACGGCTATGAATGTGAACAAGACTGCTACCACTGATCCAGCCCTACTTTCTTGAGGATCAAGCCACCCCCACTACTATCGCCACCATTATCAACAACACCACCAACAACAACACCAAACTACCCAGTCCTACCCTAATAATAAAACACCGTCAACGCCGGTCCCTGCCTATCAAACTCCGACAACGCAATCCAAGCCTGCTTCCCTAGCGCCTGCCCAAGCTCGACATCGGGACTACCAGCCACCCACCAACGTCAGCAACCCATAAACAAGAAGGCTAAAAGCCAGAGCCAGAGGTGAACTCACTAGTATGAACGCAGGGAGTCCAGATACCCCGCCGCATGGGTTTCCCATCCCATCGCGGCGAAGAAGCGCACCACCGCCTCGCCGACCCCTTGCTCCGTCATCCCCACCACCGGCAAGGCGACCTGCGGGCGCACAAAGGGCGCCTCCTCGCAGAGCTTGAGGATCAGCATCATGGGAAACTCGGTGGGCCCGCGGACACCCTCGACGACGCCCAGGCTCTCCCAGAGGGTCTGGAGCGGGTGCGGTGTGGCGTCTGGTCGACCCCATGTCCAGAGGGCTTGGGCGGTGTCGAGGGTGATGTTGCTGTCGATGAGGAATAGCTTTGCGCTGTTGGTGTTTGGGGAGGTGCTGAGCTCGCTGGAGATGAAGAGGGGCTGGGTCGTGCTCGGCGACGCGGTGAGGTATTTCTCGGTGAGCTTGAGCGCGGGGCTGAGGGCTCCGTTGGCGTTTAGGCCCTGCAGGGCGTTGAGGAGCATGGTATGAACGTCGGCTTTGGTCGCCAGCGCCCGCAGCTGCGGCTGGAAGTAGAGCTCGGGGCGCACGGAGCCATCGATCAGGTCGAGGGCCAGGATGTTCTGCGTGCGCGAGGGGAGGGTCTGCAGTTTTGCCTGAAGCTCAGGGCTCTGCAGAAGCGTCGCCTGGTCTGCCTCCGAGGTCGTCAGGGCGTTCGACAGTGTCCGGTATCGGTCCAGTCCCACATCCACGCCCGGAAGCTTGCGAAGAGCGCTCAGCAGACCCGGGAGGGGGAGCAGGTTCAGCGGATCAGGCCCCGTGTCCCCCTCCCCGGCCAGATAGCTCGTCGGTTCAAAGGCAATCCGCAAAGAGGACCCTGAGGCGGTAAATGTGCGGTCAATCTCGAGCTTCCCTGCTCCAGAGAGGAGAGTGTTTCCCTTGTCGCCGACGGACGGCTCGGTGTAGATTCCTAGACATGGGATCAGCTGGTTGTGGAAGAGCGTGAGGTATTGGTATTGCGCGTCGACGGTGTAGTCGCAGTCCTGCAGGAAGCGGGTGAGAAGGGGGGCTTTGGTAGTCCACCAGGCGTGGTGGTCGCGGTTGGGATGGGTGAGGTACTGAGATAGGTGGGTGTAGGGGGTGGAGGTGGATGGAGGTGTGAACGGAGTGGGTGCTAGGGAGCCCATGGTGGTTGTTATGGATAAGGCTTAGGTGTTGGGAGAATTGATCTTGATTTTGCCGTCGATCGGATGTCTTGGAAGGTTTCTGGCGGGGGCAAGGTTTGATATATATCTGGTTACTGCAACGGATGATGTGGCAAAGGCACCATCAAGCAAGGGCATTCTAGCCGTGTATTGATTCAAACGCTGCTCTGCTATCCTGTGCCCTAATTCCGTGCATACTTCTGTTGGATTGAAGTCTAGATATCGGCTTTGCCAATTCTATCAACATGATCTCTACGCAGACCCAGTTCTCAACGCATGCGCCTTCTTAAACCACTCTTCGAATGTGATTAGTCCGCCCTGCTGACCCCTCGCCTCCAGCGCCGCATTCTTCAATTTGATCGAAGCAGTGTTATCACTCTCATGTTCGGCAAACCAGCGCCCACCGCACGCGTTCATCATCCAGAAGATGAGCCGGGTCTCATCCCGACATCTGGTCCCATTGGGCTGAATACTCGTCCACGAAGGCATCTCCTCGTACCGGGCTGGAATTCCAGTGGCTGGATATCACCATTAGCACGATACTCAGACGCATGGAAAATGGATGATGGGAATACCTTTCGCGTATGAAGCTGCAATATCAGACATGGTAATTTGCTGGCTGGTCACCTGCACGAGAACCCTATCATATTCGCTGGGGTTCAGGAAGATGCCGTGGATGATATCGCCGACATCGTCCTCCACGCTGACCCAGGGCATATCGCCTCTGCCGCCGTATGGGGGCGTGCTGAAGACGATGTCTCCCGTCTTCGGGTTGGGAGTCCATGGGAACCCGCCGAACGCGTCGGAGAAGGGTTCGTAGAAGAAGCATTCCATGAAGGATGCACAGAGGACGGGAGTGAAGGTCTTGAAGCTCTTTGCTCGGGCGTATTGTTCCACGTGGTATTTGGCTGAGAGAAGTTAGTGCAGTTCGTGGTTCGATCAGAGGTGTCAGGCAAGAGGAGGCGCTGTACTTTCAAATCCCTCTAGATGGATCCTGCCCTTGGTGGCATTGGTGATTGAAGGGCCGGAGCTGTACACGACGTGCGGAACTCCGGCTTCCTCTGCTGCGTCAATCACCGCGGCGCCGAGGTCATAGTCGCTGGGTCCGTCCAGCGATTTGAGGGCCTGTCGCGTTAGCGCATGGAAAGCAAATGGCCCGCTTCTGGTGCGCGACAGACTTACTTCGTCGTCTGAGTTCGTGTTGATGAATACACCCCAGCTACCCGCGAGGGCGGCGACCATCTGCTCACGATTGAAGCCATCCGCCTGGACGAGCGACGCGCCATCAGCCGCGATGGCCTTTGCTCTGTCGGACGACGGGTCTCTGGTGATGACCCTGACATGAAAGCGGCCGTCCTTGTGAGCCAGCAGGGATCTTGCGACACTACCACCCTGGTTCCCTGTCCCGCCGAAGATGGTGATTATCTTGTTCTGTTGGATGGTCATTGTTGATCTCGGTCTTTTACAGACTTCAAGCTGAGAAGACACAGCGGAGTTAACGTGCGAGGTAGCTAGAAATACTCGACCTGGGATACAGTAGCGCGAACCAAGCATTGCATTATTCTAGGCATGGCAGCGGGTGCACATCTATGCATGGGCAGCGACTTTGATCGGCACAGCATAAGATAATACTTGGTACCAGCGGCTGTATCAATGGAATGCTGTGGATGTGTGACGTGTCATTCCTCTGCGTGCTCCCTTGCTTCGACAATTACCTCACCCTTGGCGCCTGCAGGGCTCATATACTTGCTGCAAGGATCTGCACATCCGTGCATGTTCACCGACCTTTACCAGCAGAGCATGAACATCTCATTCCTCTGCGTGCTCCTTGCTCCGAAAATTGCTGCACCCTCCATCGATGACACGGCCTAGATCCCCTGTGAAGCTCCTATGCTTTATGCAAGATCCGAAGCAAGGTTGAAATGTTGGAAACTTCCTGCCTTTCCGTTGTACGCCACCTAGACAGAGGATGCTTCGCTGGGCACGATATTTGGGCAAATGATGCTCGCTAGCATCTCAAATTCTCGGACGCTGCGTGTCTAGACAAGAGGCAACCTGCATGGACCAAGATGATTCGTTTTGCTCTTCTCATACTGGCCGTATCAGCCGGCCTCAAAGGCTACTGGGGCACGCAAACGCAGTCAATGTGTCGATGCCGACCGGGCGAGGCATGCTGGCCCACGACCAGTGACTGGGAGAACCTCAACCATAGCATCGATGGGAATCTACAGACGCTGAGGCCGGCCGGCCATGTATGTTCTGGCGACCAATACTCGAAGGAAGCGTGCGAGGAGTACGTGAAGAACTTCCACAATGGCACCTGGCGCGTTTTGAATCCAGGTAGGTAGCTATTGTGCCGCAGGCTCAAGCGGGATGCAATCGCTGATTTCGGTACCCACAAACAGCGTCGCTCCAAGTGATCAATTGGGAGAATTGGCGAGCAGCAGAGGAAAGCTGTCACGTTGACGGTATCACAAATGCGACGTGCCAGCAGGGCAGGGTGCCAGTATACGCGGCTTCCGTGAAGACTGTGGAGCAGGTGCGAGGTGTCGTTCGCTTTGCTGCTGACCACAATCTTCGCCTCTCGGTGAGAAACACCGGGCATGATCTCGCTGGCCGCTCGACTTCCCCGGAATCGTTAATGGTCCATACAGCTGGACTCAAGGAGATTCGGTTCACCACGTCTTTCCGTACGACTTCGCCGCTGGGGTACGAGTCTGAAGACTATGGCCCTGCAGTGACGGTTGGGGCGGGCGTCATGACAGAGGATCTGTACGCATCAGCCGCAGAACATGGGTATAGCGTTGCTGGTGGGAGTTGCGGAACTGTTGGCATCGCTGGCGGTTGGATGGCAAGTGGTGGTTATGGAATACTCACACCGTCCAAGGGACTGGGCGTTGATAACGTTCTGGAGGTTGGAATGGTCACGGCAGCTGTAAGCCCCCTGTCCTACCTCCCTCTTGCAAGGCCTCGGTGGTTTGCTGACAAGACTCCAACAGGGCGCGTACGTGATTGCAAATGCGTATCAGAACAAAGACCTCTTCCAAGCCGTTCGAGGCGGCGGAGGAGGTACATTCGGAATCATCACCAGTGTGACGTTCCGAGTATTTCCTGATGTGCCGCTGGAGGTGGCCAGATTAACTGCCGTGGCCGAGGCAGGCCCAGGAGATGCATTTTGGTCAGGTGTCCAGGAGATCATGGGCACGATACCGCAATTGGGAGACCAAGGCATTGCAGTTCAGAGCTATGCCTTTCCGTTTGCTGAATCGGGGTCTCTCATCTCAGCGGAGATCTTTTCCATCAATCAAACCGAGACAAGCAGTATGTCTCCTGTCGATCGCCTCGTCGAGAGCTGGAAGAATGCTGGGCTCCAGGTCCAGCGCTCCCACGAGCACTTTGCGCAAATTTCTTCATACCACGCCAGTCGCAGCACCGAGGGCATGGCTGGGGTGGGCGTCATGGTGGGTTCGCGCCTCGTATCGCGAAGCTCGCTAAATGCCCCTGACCGTCTGTCCCGTGCGCTTTCCCAGTTGAAGTACAACCCCGGTGATATGATAAGTCTAGACGGAATGGCGCCTGGGCCCAGCGTGGAGCGAAAGAGCCATGCACCCCACTCCCTCCATCCAGCGTGGGACTCGGCCGCGATGATCCTCACCCTGGGCCGGGGTCTCCCGCTGGATCCGAATTGGGAGGCCTACGAGCAAGTCGAGGAAGAGCTGAAGCATACTCAGCTGCCCGCAATCGATTCACTGGAGAACGCCACCATTGCTGGGTATCTGGGTGTGCCCTTCCCGCATGAGGCTGACCATGCAGGCGTATTCTGGGGCGAGAAGTATGATGTGCTCCTTGCAACCAAGCGTCGCTGGGATCCAAATGATCTTTTTATTACCCGGCTAGGAGTAGGGAGTGAAGGATGGGATGACGAGGCTATGTGTCGCAAGCGGACGTCTACTGCGTGGGAAAAGGACCTGCAGATGTTGTGGGCTCGTTACAACGAACTTTTCGCATCGCTGTATTAGATTCTTCAATTGCCTCCAATCGACATTCTTTCAATGCATAGCCAAATAGCTCTGTTACAACACATAGCTGTCTAGATAAAGATGCATATACTCTGCCCGTGCGAGCTGGAATCAAATCACTTAGACCCTGTGTCCTTTGACTTCCTGCACCATTACGCATTGCTGTGGTCAACATGAGACCGGTATTCACGCAATGGTCAGTCTGGCAGCGCCCCTTACGTGAGACAGGTGGACTGGGTGACATGCACGGACTAAGTACAGCAGCGACAGGAGTGTTGTTGGCAACGCTAGGGCGAACGCAAGTGAGGATGCTCCTCGCAACTGTCGGTGTGCGTAGCCTGTGCAGCCTATCTGGCGGGAACCGGATATAAATGTTATTAATCGGCTTGGTGTAGGCTTGAGAGCAAGCAACCTTACTGTCACTGTTCCTCTGTACTGCCAAAACCATCACAATGACGGTCCCTAGCCAACCCGTGAGCCTGTGCAAACAGACAACCCTAACCTCTACACCCACCCCATATGAAATCCTCAGCAAGTACACCGTCTTCCCGGACGCCCACCAGAAGGCCTGGTGGGAGAAGACCGGGCAGCTGCTCAACAAAGTCCTGATCTCAGCGAACTACAACACCTCTCGCCAGTTCGAAGCCCTCACCTTCTACACTCAGGTCCTCATCCCTCACCTAGGCCCTTACCCATTCGCCTTCCGCAGCGCCATCACACGAAGCGGCCTCCCGCTCGAGTTCAGCGTCAACTACCAGCAAAAGGGCGGCGCGGAGCCCGTCGTCCGCATCGGATACGAGCCCGTCTCCGCGGAATCGGGGACGGAGAAGGACTTGTACAACCAGCTACCGGTGCTGGATCTGCTCAAGCGGCTCGAGGAAGTGCAGATCCCGGGCTTCGACGCCTCGCTGTTCCACCACTTCCTCGAGCACCATACCCTCTCCGCCGCGGACAAGGATGCGCTCACCAGGAACAAGATGGAAGGAAGCGACCTCACCTCGCAGAGCGCATTCGGGTTTGATCTCCGACCCCAGGCCGTCTCGGTGAAGGGGTACACCTTCCCCGGGTTTAAGTGCCACGCCAGTGGGCGGTCGTTTGGCAAGCTGTTCGCAGAGTCAATCCAGCCGATTGCCGATCGCATCGGGCACTTCCCCTCCTTTGACAAGGTGAACGAATACCTCGAAGAAACCAACGGCTACAGCCAGGTGGCCTTCTGGTCCTTCGACTGCGTCGACCCGGCCAAGTCGCGGTTGAAGCTGTACAGCTCCAGCAACGAGGTCGTCTGGTCGAAGATCGAAGAGATCTGGACCCTGGGCGGCCGCGCAGACACGTCCACCGTGAAGGAGGGACTCAAGTATCTGTCCCAGCTGTGGCAGCTGACCAAGGTGGAGGAGGGCCACCGCGCCTTCACGGGCGGGTTCGATGACGGCAAGGACTCCACGCCCACGCCTATGGTGTGGAACTACGAGATGAAGGCCGGCGAGGAGATCCCGGTAACGAAATTCTATTTCCCCATTCACGGGGAGAATGATGCAAAGATTGTGCGCGGGGTTGCGCAGTATCTCAGTGATATTGGGTTGGTCGAATATGGGGAAGGCTACGAAGAGACTGTGCGGGATTACTTGTGAGTTCGGCCCATAGGAAAGTTGTTTAAGACGATTACTGACATTAGGCAGCCCGGACAGGGATCTGGAGAAGACGGCGCGGTTGACGTCTTGGATCTCGTTTGCGTACACGGAGAAGACGGGGGTTTACCTTAGTGTTTACTATCATTCTTCAGACGATTATCCGTGGACTGAGGAGGAGGGTTCCGCGTAGCCAGTCAACTGTGGAGGGCTCATTTTCAGCTGTCTTTCATCTCCTCGGTTATGATTCAGTTCCGATAGTGACAGAACTTCCAATGGTGTCTTCAACGCAGATCCTAGCGTAGAGCACGTAGCATCGCCAGGAATGAAGGTGCAAGTACGAGAGATATGATACCACCTCCTTATGACGACCTCCAGCTCGTTCATACAATCTGTGAAGCCTGAATCGAGCATTGTGTGATTCAGCATGGTTTTTTCCGGCGGTAGGAAAGACGAACTATTTGTGCTTCTTTCCCAGGGACTCTTTATAGTCGATCAATGCAGGGTATGACCAACCCCCCGGGTAATAGTAGCCATTTATTTGACTCAGCTTTGCATGTGGTGATACAGGGTAGACTGCCGCTAGTGGTTGATATGGGAGTATAGGTGGGCTCGCCATGTATGTAGATGTGACGACCCCACCTTGAGTTGCAGCTGAGCTCTTTCCTGATTACCAGAAGACTAGGAGCGTTGATATCGCTGTAACGATGCCATTCAGTAGTTCCCTAAGTTGGAAAGGACAACAGAGAACTGTCGGTGCTTGCCACAGCTCAGCTACTGCTCGGGAATTGTGCCTTCATGGTGGCATTGTCACTGCTGGTTCCAGGTACATATAAGATATACCGAGACAAAAACGTCGAGGATAATGCACTTGCATGCCAGCTTGTGATTGTGCCGACTTTCGTCTAGTCATAGCTGGACCTTTCTTTCTGTGGTCCTGTCGTCATCTGTTACACACTACATGCAGATCGCAGCCTCATGTTCCAATTGTTACTAGGTATTCATAGCACACTATCCGACTCCGATGGGGTCTCAGATGCGTGGCAAAGTCACACTGGAAATCTGGTTCACTCAACCACTTTCTTTCCTGCCCTACAAGGTGCCTCGTGTACCATTCCGCATCCACGAGTTTGTATTGAACTACCTGCGACAAGCCTCGAAGATGAGCGCGCTTCTTGATGAGAGAGGCGTTATCATGAAGGGACAGCATACGAGACATGACTCTGGATAGAACCAAGTCGAAGCTAGTGGTTGTAATGGCTACTTTGCTAATCTACCATAATATTACACGGCGTACAGAGCAGATACAGACTGGACTGCCGGTCCCGCGATGAACTTGAGCCTTGGCCGCGCATTGCAACCCCCGGTATGCGTATCCCGTTGTGCCTGTTGCATACCCGGCTTCAACTGCGCTCCGACGGACAAGGTTGCTCGCCTGACCAGAGTTATGGCACCTGATCTGTAGTGGGCGCCTGCGCCCTGCGATTGGCCGGGGTCGCCGGCAGCAGGTGCCGCGGCGTATCTAGAAACATGTGAAGGTGGGAAGCCATGACCACCATGCCCAGGGAAATTGGCCGCACTTGATGCTGGGGTGGTTGAAGGACACCGGACAGATCGGCAATGAGCTCAGATGCTGCCATAGGGACCATGTCCCCATCAACCGTCATCATTCGAGGCCCATCTATCCCATCTGCCTCACTCGTCATCACTGTCGTAGGCGACCAGCGACTGTAATGAGGCGACCTGCTGAGGCTTGGCCGAAACCGACGCGCGAGCAGCCCCTAATGCGGCCAGAGTACTGCTGGAGAAGATGCCGCCCTGCGCGACTTGCGCCGGCGGAATTTCCTCCGGCTGGTGCTGGTCCTGCGGTTCCGGCAGTGCAAGCTGTTCATGCTGATCGTCTCCATTTCCCCGCAAACCCACGGCAAAGCGTACCTGGTCCGGCTCATCATAGCCCTCGAGGTCGTAGCTGGTTTTTTGTCTCTTCGCATGGGCATCCTTGCCTTCGATCTGGGCGATGAATTCCGCCGGCAGGGCGCGCCGAATAGCCTCCGCGGCTTGCTCTTCGATGCGGCGGGCTTCCCGCTTCTGAGCCAGTGGATTGGGATCCTGCGTGGCCCAGCGGACGTTCAGAATTTCGTTGTGGTCGAGACTCTGGTGGGCCATAGCCTCCTTGGCAAATTGTGCCATCGCTTCGGTTTTGTAGGTTACCTAGGACTGTTAGCTCGACGCAGGGTCCGAGGCGGATCGGCACGTACAAATGCAACACCACGACTAGTCAAGACTCTGATCCGATCAATCTCGCCCCATTCGGCGAAGTGACGCGAAACAACCTCCCTGTCGGACATCTGGTCAGCTTCCACCTAGAAGTGTATCCCAGCCCATCGCAGCGAAGCAGAAAATTATTTCGTCATTTCCCGATGATTGTCCGGTGTGTAAAGGGCATGGAGGGTTGCTTACTCGATGTCGTCACTGGAAGCACGTTAGTCATCTGCGCGCGAAGGCGACCGGGGGAATGAGATGAAGACCGTACCTGACATGGATTTTACCAACATAGATCGTCCGATTCTGCCGCAAGAAGCTACCAACACCGCCCATGTCATCTCGATAATCGTTGAACTTCTCGCGACCGAAAACGTCCATCTGAGGGGGGGTGATGTCATGAATCGTCGGTCGGCGGTGAAGGTATTCGCAGTCTTGACCACGGTGGCAAAGGCCTCGGGCCTAGGAACAACAAACGCAACAAGATTAGCACCTGTCTCTTCGCCGACGCAACGAGAATTATGGAAACTTACAAAGTGGAGACAAATGTGTGCGCCGGGCTGCGCGTCGGCCTTGGTGTAGCCGGAGTCGCGGGCAAGGTTGCACCGTGTCTTGGCCGCCTGTTGCGAAGAGTCCTCCCGATCGCCGCCGGCCCATTTGTTGTAGTAAATGTTGTAGGTTGTGCCGGATTGGGGCTGGAACTGGGCCTGAATCTCCTTGGCCTTGTCGGCTTCGACCTGGACGCGCGCGGGGCGTCGCTTCTTGCGAATGATGCGCTTCTTGACGACCGCGTCGGGCTGGGGAGTAGGCTCTGTTGGCGTGGTCTCTGCCACGCTGGGGGGCGTGGTCTCCGTCGTAGTGTCTGCCATGATGAAGGATTCGTAAGGATGGAGGTTGAGGTTGATTGTTGCGGCGACCGGCGACGGGATTGAACAAGCAACGAACGATAAGAGATTCCCGCCCGCGAGTAACGAGGGTCACGTGAGAGCTCAGCGCTCGGAGAAACGCGGCCCGTGTTTGATGCCTCACGGATCAGGCCTCGATTATCGGGATGCGCCCCCCTGCAGTGCTCTGGGAGAACCGGCGGTATAGGCATATAAGGTATACTCAATCCCCAAATCCCCTATCGCATTATAATGTCAATTTTGATGGGTGATTGGAACGTAGTGTGTGGCTTTAAACCTGATGGAGATCTCCGCGATGGAGCAGACCTACTCCACACATGGCCCAGAGGTTATCCTTTCTAATCGACGGTTTACTTAAAAGGCTCCACGACCTCTTTGCCCCACGAGTAAAACGAACCCGGCATCTGTGAAGCCGTCCAACATCGATAGGCGCGAGATGGAACTCTCCGACTGAGAAGAAACCATTGACTGGCGGGGAAGGGAAACATCTCATAACCCTCCGGTCCTCTTGTTCTTGGTTGCTTTTAGCTTGCCCTGCAATCTAACATCTTTCTGGAGACTTTCACAACATGGCACTTGCTTTGGAATCAATTGCCGCTTATCTCGCAGTATATTTAACCCTAAAGCTACCATCCCATCCCCTTCAAGTGAACCGTTACCCCCATCACAAAACCCCATCAACATACATCTATCACAACTGCCCAAGTAAAGCAATGTCTCCTGACAATAATAGCACAACAATGACCGATGCGCCCAAGGCCTGGAGGGACCTCCTTCAGGATCACTTCTTCGTCGACCTGTGGGTCCCCAAGAAGACCACATGCTGGGGGCCGGAGATACACTCTGCGCTCCAGGATGCCGTGAATGGCATGACTAGAGACTATATCTGGGGCATTGAGTCCAAAGCACCGTTCCCGGACCATGTTCTTGTGCGAGTCATCCTACCGGCAGGTTACCTAACCGAAAGCCCAGTTGACATCCTGACCCTGCTGAACGACCGTCTGGACCTCATGGATGATTGGCTGGAGCCCGACGAGCTACGTTGGACCCCTGAGACCTTGGTGGAGGGTGAGTTCGAGGTTCTCCGCGTTGAGGGGCTTCAGTTCTGGAAGTTGATGGAGAACCGGAGCGTGCTCTAGTTTTGGGGCTCCAGCCCCCAGCCTCCAGCCCCCATCGGCCACGGCTGGGTTTGATTCAATTCCAATGATGATATGAATTTTACAAATCTCACTTATTCCCTCGATCAAAGAATATGTAGTGAAGGAAGAAATGATCTGTACCCAGTACACGAACTATGAAAATTCCCGTCGGCTCTCCGACCTGTAAGCTTTTCTACCTATTTCGATCTAGACCGAGGTTATAGGTCTATTATGATGAGCTGCCAAAATATAGAAATAAATTTCGACAACACAACACAGCTCCTTAAGGGTGTATTTACGCAACTCTGTAAGGGACTGGTTATAGGACGGTTGAAGCATCTTTAAAAGCACCTTTGTTGACATTATTCCTTTTCCATTATTTACAAACACACGTGTATTGATCTGGATGTACGGCCTGGATCTGCCGCTGCGGGGGCGGGGGGCCTCGGATCGCCCAGGCCCCCAGACCCTCCTCCGCCATCCGGGGAAGCGCAAGTCATGTGACTACTCCTTGGAAGGACCGATCGTATTGTTTACCTAGTAGTACCTAACTACCTAGTCGTTAGGTAAGTGAACTGCCAGACTTTGCACAAAAAGCTCAATCATCGTTCGTCGCCATTACTCAGCCCCTCACAGAGTTGCAAACCCTACCTACTAGGTAACCTACCTGCTATTAGCACGGGCGCTTTCCACGTTGCAAACCAGACAAACCCAAATCCCTACGAGCTCGACGACCTCGCCTCAGGGCTCCTCCTCAACCTCCCCATCAGTGACAGGAACCCTTTCAGCATAGTGAAACCAGGTAACCCAGCGACTCCCAAAATGCCTTACTGTCGGCGCCGTCCCCGTATCCAGCACGAGCTTCGTCTCTAGCCCCGCCTCAGAAGCAGCAGCAGCAGCAGCAGGAGGAGGACTCACACACGCCGGCAAGTTCGCCGCCCACTCCAGAATGGTCGCGCGATCGCTCTTATCCTGAACGCGGAACTCGACTCGTCCGTCACGGGTGAAAAGGACCGGGTCCTCGTCGTCTGTGGCCGGCTCGGTGAAGAGCCGGACCGCTCCGTCGTAGCCGTCGTAGACCAGCCCGGCGTACCGCGGCACGAGGGGCCTCACGGCCCGCGCCCGCATCCCCCGGAACGTCGCCCCGAGCTCCCCCGCGGCTTTCTCCCAGTCCAGGGACTTCCCGGCGTCGAGCTCGTGGCACATATGGACAAAGAAACGGCCCGTGGCGGTCGAGGCGAGGGTATGCGCGAACTGTCGGACGGCGGCTTCTTGGCGCGAGGAGTAGAAGTCGGGGCGAAACATTTTGGGTCCTAGGGCGATGGGCCTGTGAGTCAGAGCCAGATACTTCAGGTCAAGGGGCGGGAGATGTTATCTGGGGAAGAGATGTAGGGTGAGATGATTGGGATGGTCGAGATGGGGCTCGATGTTGAGCGCTGGACACGCCCCTTTTATAGGGGTAGGGTTCGTTCAAATGCAACGAAAAAGGGAGCTGTCGCCTTTGTCGGGCAGCGAGTGCTTCTTTGGCGTATGACCACACAAAGGCAATGGTTTCGTGACAAAGTCGCTGTTTTATGTCTGCATACGCCCTCCTTTCAGCGCCGGCATTGGTATGCTCATAACAACGGTAAAGGATCAACAATTGGGATGAGTGACATGCTTTCATGGCCGGGCACGGGTCGGATTGTCTGTCTGGTGAAGATTCCCATGGTAACATGTGATGGATTTCGCCCACCTAAATCTAAATTCCCAAAAGTGTTTCTTCAGGCGATAAGGCAGACTGTCATGGTGGCTGTGAGAGGATCCCTGTTGCTAGTTCGACTTAGTCTCGATTTTGATTTCAATATTACCGTTTCTTTCCTTACAAAACTCATCAGTATAGCACTGATTTGATTATGGTTGCTTCGATAGCTAATTTTAGCTATCTTCAGAAACCCTGGGCGTGCAAATACAAATGAGACAGAAACCCACCAAAGTGTGCAGTGATAGCTCAGATGAAGAGATACAGGCAAAGAATGATTTATGTTCAGGATTATTCGTTTATTCGACACCTTAGCCTAGCATTATACTGTGCGTTTTATTAACCTCAACATACACACAACCCACCGACTTATTTTTTTTTTCTTTTTCTTTCCATTCCTAAGACACGGATACAGGATGCGTCTGAATACTGACCATCGTCTCGCACATTTGAACGCCTATAATTTCAGACCACAACAAATAATGTATCAACTTGACCTCCACGACTAAATCTCACAAACTCAAAATAGCCATGCCTTGTCCTGGCTCAACATAGCTGGGACGACATCAGGATTATTACTTTCGTGCGTGGTAGTTCCACAGGCTGATAGACATATAGCATCCGGCATCTCATACAGTGGAGAGGTCTTCTTGCTTATAACAATCATGTTGGGCGGGGTGAGGGGACAAGGTTATTCCAGAGTGTTCTTCAACGTGCATTTGTCGACATCCCAGGAAAGGAGAGGAAAGGGGGTGGGGAGGGAGTCACCTATTGCCATACCACGATGGCCGGAGTATTTAGAGTTTGACAGATATTCTTCCTTGGGGTTGAGGCTCTAGATTCACTCTTCCCCAACCAATCGCTGGCTCTCGGAGTTTGATTCGGTCCTGTCAGAAGGGTGAACAATGATATATGTGCCAGGATTGGCTAGTCGACATGATAATTAGACTCAGGCTATAGATGATCGACACTTAAGTCAGTCCAGCTGCAGAGATGCCAAAATTTGGACTTCGCGCAACAGTTATTGATCTATCGTCAGGAGTCTACCCTACTGGAGAAACTCTTCCGGGTGTCTACTATGTTAGCACTCTCGTTTGAGACTACACGAGCAACCAGCTGTACAGACTTTTATCATATATGCGCTTTCCCGATGATGCTGGGACTGATTGAGTCATTTAGCAGCGTTATTCAGGTCTTTGGTAATGCTTGGCGTAGCCCTGGCTATTAGATATCCAGGCGAGATTTCCCTTTCCCATCCCCAGGCTAGGTTCATCAATCCTTATCCAAGTTTTGCATCTCGTACCCCTCGTGAAGTCTCGCGTCCACGACAGACACAATGTTTTTTCTTATTCTCAGTCTCTTTTGCTGCTACGCTCATGCGCTTATCAAGTTCGATACAAACTGCACCCTTCCCGCGGAGACAGTGAATCATGTTTCCGCCCCGAATACGCGCGGTACCCTCACTATTCTCTGGGCCAATCTTCTCAGGATTATCCTCTGCACCTGGACGGTTCAGCACCCGGACATTCCCAGGCCGCGAGAGAATTCCAAGCCCGGCTTCAACGGCAAGATCCAGTACTGGAGTCACCAGTACACACATCAACTCGTGTGGTTCGTGATTACAATTATCGCGCCCGAGGTGCTTCTCGCAAAACATGGGTATGATCTTTGGGAAGCAAAGCGTAACCTCCACGGGTTGCAAGCACGCGCACAGGAGGATGGGGTAGAGTGGACGATCACTCATTCTTTGCATGCTAATATGGGAGGCTTTTTGATGAGGGTGAACTCAGCATCATCTAGACGAAGACCACTAGGGATGCGTCCCACACGTCCAAGTGAGCCTGCGCCGATACTCCACGAACTAAGCACCAATGAGGACGATCTTCCGCATCCCCTTCCCATCTTCCCACGACGAGCGAGCATGACGTTTGACATACGCTCTGGCCTCGCTAACAGCAGCCCTGTAGAAAGCAACGCGCCGCCCCTGGTGCTGAATCTCACTCTCCCAGGCAGTTCTGACAAGCATTGCGCCGGACACTCTTCAAGATCCCACGAATCAGGTCTTGTCTTCGTAGAAACGAGCAGTCGTTGTATTTGAAGGTGTGTTGTTCGGCGGAATCGATGTCTGCGTAGATATCTTGTCAGTCGTGTTTAGGGTGGGTAAGAATAGGATGATAGCAAGGGGCGGGGGACTCACGCCAAGCACCGGAGCAATATTCTATCATGTAGATGATTTCGTCGAGGGGTCGGAGTGTCTGAGACATGTTGGGTGATTCTGTTGGAAGGTTGACGCGTAGGATGAATCTTGATGGTACCGACTTCGGAATTGATTGTATGGAATTGGTCTTCGGAAGATCAGTCGGAAAAGAACAAGCATAGAATGGAAAATACAAGAGGGGTTTCTAGACCCTATTTAAACTTCTCGCAGAGAGAGACGGGAGTGGAGACACGTCTCTTTCTCTTTACGCATTGTTGTCGGTCGTGGATCGATGTATATGTCTTTTGGTCCCTGCAGGGAAGAACACAAAAGCCGGCGCTCTATGGGTTTGCTGCCAATACCAAGACTTTGTGTTGGAATAAAGTGCTGCTGAAGGAAGGGAAGGATAACAGAGTAGAGCGGACAGTCACAACAAACAATGGCTTTGTTCTTAATTACTTTGTCTTCTTCCCTTTGATGTTCGGCAACTTATCATCACAAACAAAAAAGTCAGTCATATGGGCCTCAATTGGCTCGTGCACTCCACAAGAAGCCTCAAGTGGAGCGCATACTCTCAATTTGTCGACAGGAATTCTTCGAAACATCAAGATTGTCTGCACATAGCTGGTTGTGCAAAAAGAGCACCTCAACCATGGCTCAGAGTCTCAAAATCCCACGGGGTGCACCTTGCAGCATCTACTTTCGGCATCTTGAACCGGATTCCAATTGCTGCTTTGAATAGTATCCGCAGAAAATAGAGACTTCTGAGAACAACGTAGGAAAGGAACTTAATTCATTTCAAGGCAACAGAGCAGGCAATTTAGTTCAAAGCCTAGCTGTCTTGCGTAACGGTATATGCATACAGTTAATTATTAGCACCATACACCCTGGTTTTTCACTGCGAGTAGAACGAGTTCAAATAGTAAGCACTATCCAAGCTAATCTCAGAAAAACACTGTTCGATCTTCTAAACACGCCACCAGCAGCACAGTGCATTCCACAAAGCAGGGTTGACATGGGGTTCATCTCATCGAACATAGCGAAAACTCGTATTCTGTCTGTCTGTATGGCTGGTTGGTGCCTGAGCCGTACTAGACGGAAAGTGATGCAGGTTATTGACATGGCCGTGCAAAGCATCTCGTCGTCTGTTCTCCCAGACATAGTACGCGGATAAAAGCCCAAGAAAGAGAACACCTAAAGCCAGACCACAAAGAGAGGCGCGAATGCCGGTCTGTTTTCGAAGGAAGTTAGCCAATGAGGAACATGTTATCAAGAATGTACTCCGCTCTCGATAACATACCGCGTAGACCGGCTCTTCTGACGCCAGGAAGAACTGCGGACCGACGATATTGCCAACACAATAGGCAGCGAACACGGCACTGCTGACGGTACTTCGCTTCGTGCGTCCGACCACGTTGGAGCTGATGATGCTCAGCGCAAGAGGGATATTGACGGCGAAGGCTCCGACGAAGGACAGTCCGACTAGCTTGACGACCTTGTGGCTGTCATTCAAGGTATAGATGAGCGCCACGCCGACAATGGCGACCACAACATTCAGAATCATGGATAGAATCCGAGAGGATGGAATGAACGTGGCAATGGCGGCGGTGATGATGAGGAACACAAGCTGCGCGGCACCCACTGGCATCTGGAGTAGGAGAGACTTGAAGCTGGAATAGCCGAAGCCTGCTACAATGATGGCGGAGAACTATATCTGACAGTTAGCACTTGATGCCAGCTGGAATTAATGAGATGACCTTACGCTGGTAAGACCGCCGTTGGCAAGATTGACACAGAATGTGTACAGAACCAAACACCACGCCTGGGGGTCCTGCACCGATTCCCAAACCTGGTTCCAATGGAACTTTGCGCCCCCTGGGGCTTCTTCCACATCCACTGTTTCATTGCTCAGCATTCGTTGCGTGGCAGTCCTGCGTTCATTTGAGCTGAGAAAGAACGCCGTGGAGGGGGAGTCGGGCAGAACCAGAAGAAGAAAGATGGCATAGCCCGATGTAATGCCACCCAGAACCAGGAACAGCAGACGCCAGCTCTGAATGCTGGACGCGGCATTGCCGATTCCCCAGGCAGTCACACCTCCGATCAAATTCGCAACACAATTACCGACGAACCAGGCCGCCTGGCGCGCGGGCTGTTCATCCCGTTTATAAAACATCCCGACTATCAGGCCAAACCCCGGAGCCACCGCCGCCTCGCCCACCCCCAGGAAGAATCGAGCTGTGATCAAGCCTTGGAAGCTCTGGCAGGCTGCGTGGCACATCAGAATACCACCCCATAGAAATCTGTGGCAGTAAAATTAACCATGTTTCAAATGGGACTTGCAAGCATGCATGGAGACCTACACGGAGATTGCCAGATACTTGCCCAGAGGCAGACGGACAATCAGGTAAGACGTCGGCCAGCTCCAGGCCAGATAGCCGAAGTAAAAGATGGCCGAGCACCATGTATACTGCGAGCCATGAAGACCCTGCAACGGTCGTACTAGTTAACCACGTCATTTTGTGGCAGGGGAAAGTTCAAGGATACTGACTAAATCTTGTCGTAGGTTCAAGAGTGTCGCTTGACTCAGAGCCAGTTTGTCCATGTACTGAAGCATGTAGCATATTCCCATGGTCGGAATCAAGCTAGCAATCTGGTGAGCGAGTGGCTTCGATTCGGCTGCGTCTTTGAGCACCTACAAGAAATCCAATTTCCATAGAAGCCGGCGCTCCGCTTCAGATGATGGCGCAAGAACTTCGGCAAGCTCGCCGACACTAGTTTCCTGCGCAGTCTCCGTGATAGCGCATGGCAGCTTCTCATCAAATGGGGATTGGGATTCTGGAGACTTCTCCATAGCACAGGAAGTGAAAGGCACGTTTTCCAACGTTGTGGGTATCAGAAGTATGGTTTCTTGACAGGGATCCTACATGTTTGCACTATATAAATACAAGCTTATCATTTCCCATCCTCCAGAAGTATTCAATGGGCGCTCTGCCAACGACTATGCAAGCCGCCAACAAGATGGCGTTAGTTGATAGGCAAACATGATAGTTCAGGCCCCTTTTCCAAGTCTTATCAGGGAGGCGACATGGATTTCCCGCGGAAAGTTCTCATCGATTATCGATCTAATCAGAGACCGGGTATAGAGAAGTATAACAGCACGTCGGCAAACCCGTAAACGGTGACTAGCGAAGATGAAGCCAAGCCACCGATGCTCGGCAAAATGTTCTGGGACTGATTGGTGCCCGCGTGTCGGTTGTTATCTGGGGGCTGTGCCTGGTCCTATCCTCTCGTTTGGACAGATAAGCCCTGCATGCTGGTAGCATCTCTTATGCAGCAACTTGTGCTTATGCACCGCACTATGCATCACCTCCTTGACTTCTAAGAGCCGAACTACTTATACTGAATTACGATAGTGCCGTTCTTCCCGGCTGCTGATGTGTCTATACCGTCTGTGAGGAATTGTAGAAGGAGATAAAGCAACACGCCTTGCCAGGGCTTCACAGTTAAAAATCCATTCATCGCACACTTTCCTAAAGTTCCAATGCCAGGCCTTCATACTTCTTCATTTCAATCAAGCAACTCGCCCAATATGACTGCGGCCCCGCTGACTGCAGTCCCGCCCGAGGAAGTGCGCACAGCAATCGACAGTGCTCTCGAGAAAGTTGCATCGCAACTGCGTCAGCTCAATCACCTGGTCAGCTCAGTCTGCGGAGTTCAACAGTCCTCATTTGGGCGCTGGCAATCACTGACCAAACTTGCTTTCAGATATGGTCAAACCCCGAGCTTGCCTACGAAGAACACCAAGCCCACGATGCGATCTGCAATTTTCTCGAGAAGCAAGGCTTCACAGTGACGCGGCATGCGTACGGGGTAGATACCTCCTTCGAATGTATCAGCGGCACCGAGGGTCGCCTGGTCAACCTCAACGCGGAATACGATGCGCTCCCTGGGATCGGGCACGCGTGTGGACACAACCTCATTGCGACGAGCAGCATCGCGGCCTTTCTGGCTTTGAGCCATCTGCAGAGACAATATGGAATTGGCGGCCGCATCCAGCTCCTCGGCACGCCTGCTGAGGAGAACGGGGGAGGGAAGGCGAGATTGATCGATGCAGGCGCCTACAAGGGAGTCGATGTCTCATTAATGGCGTGAGGACTTCCATTCCCGTCATTGACACACTTTTTGTGTCGTCGGTTCACGATTATGGCTGACTTACCCCTGGACATCCTGGCCCGAAGGATATCGTGGGGACGCCGAGCGACGGCGTGGCGGGTATACTCATGAATGCGCGCAAGGAGCTCTTCGTGGAATACTTTGGGAAAAATGCCCATGCTGGAGGCAATCCATGGGAGGGCGTCAACGCGTTGGATGCCTTGATCATGGCCTACAACGGGATCTCGACTCTAAGGCAGCAGATCCTCCCCGATGAGCGGATCCATGGCGCCTTCTTAGATGTCCCCAAGGTCGCCAATGTGATTCCTGCGTACACCAAGTCCTACTGGCAAATTCGCAGCCCCACTCTGGACCAGCTCAATAAGCTGATCGCGCGAGTCCGCTTGTGTATTGAAGGGGCTGCTGTCGTCACCGGTTGTACTGTGAAGATTGTGGAGTAGGTTGGATTGACCCAAATCCTTCCATGTGTTGCTAACGGATATATGGCAACAGGGAAGGCCTGTATACCGATATCGTACTCAATGATGTCTTATGCCAGCGATACACGAAGCATATGGCAGCGTGTGGGAGATCGATCATCGAAAAGTACGAGAAGGTCCTGACCGGGTCGTCCGATGTTGGTAGGTTTTCAAATGGATAGTATGAAGGAAGAGACTGACAAGGCACAGGAAACGTGAGCTATGTTGCTCCTACACTGCATTCGATGTTTGCTATTCCAGCTCCTGACGGGTGCTTTCCCCACCATCCTTCTTTCACCGCGTGCGCTGGTACGGATGAAGCACATGAAGAAGCCATAGCGGTTGGCAAAGGGTTGGCTCTCCTGGGCTGGGATATGTTGTCCGATGAGAAGCTTCTCACTCGGGCCAAGAGCCAGTGGAAGTCGAGGCTACCCACTAAGTGCGACGAATGATGATGAGACATGACTTGCAGCAGTCCTGGGACGGTCGACTGCAGCTTGCTTTATTTGTAGGATACTCTTTCCAAAATGATAACATTACAGGGTAAAGATGGCTAGCATGATTTGGGAACTGGGAGGCTGGTGGACCTATAGAGTTAGGATTAACTGCGGTGTCAACAAGCCACATCAAAGGGTGACAGGTTTTGTGGAAAGTTGGTTCAATTTTTCCTGTAATCTGTCTCGGACCCAGACTCCACGGCAGCCAGTCGCAACTGAACACGGTTATGTATCTTTTGGTCAGGCTTATTCGTTAGCACATCGACACCTTGTTGGAATTTTCAACACTCGGACATCAAAATAGCTTTGCACATTTCACATTCAACACCTAAATCCCCGTCTACATTCGCGTGGTGTCAGCAGGCGGGCCAAACCCATTCAACCTAATAACTTACGCATCACACTCGCCCTCTCACGAATGGCGTCCTTGAATTCGTAATCGCGCAGCTCCGGCCGCTCGAGCAGGGCGTCCAGCAGCTCCTCCGGAGCCCGGGTAAACAACGCCTTCCACACTTCCCTATACGGAACATGGATACGTCTCATCTTGTCGTCGTAGAAATAATAATCCGGGGGTGCGTCCTGCAGGGGGGCCCCCTTTCGCACGATGAGCGCGGCGATCTGAAACCGGGCGAGCTTGACCGCTATATCAAACAGCGTGACCTTCTGCTCGACGCGGTCCTCGCGCGAGAGCTGCACCAGGTCGGGTCGATGATCAAAGGTTTCCTCCAGGAAGTTCCGGTGCTCGCCGCTTATAGCGCTGACGAAAATCGGCCACCATTCGGGCTCGTCGAGGCTGGTGCCGCGTGCGCTCTCGAATGCGTCGAGCAGGAGGCACGCCCCGCCCTTGAGGTCCAAGACATCCATCCCAAACATACCCAGGGAGCTGGGAATGGCGCCAGAGTCGACGAGCAGGCGGTAGATCGCCGCGCGTGGGCCCCGCGGCGGTTTTATGTCCAGGGGACGGACATCGGCATCAGCTTCGACGTTGGGGTCTGCCCCGTGCTCCAGGAGCAAGCGGACGGCCTCTACGTGCCCGAACTCCACGGCGATGTGCAGCATCGGCTCGTCAGTGTAGCTCCGGCCATTGGCAACGTCCACGCCGCCGACGCGCAGCAGCCGCTCGACGGTGTCGTATTGGCCGTGCCGGATGGCATCGTAGAGGGGCTGGCGCGGCACGAAGGCCTCGAGCTCAGACCACAAGTCCTCCGAGAGCTGGTCGCCGGTGAGTTCGGACAAGGCGGAGCGGGCGATGGCCGTGATATCGTCGCCTGGGTTGTACGATTCCCGGATGGCCTCGACAATCACACCCACCCAAGTTTCAAGATCCGCCCAACCCGGGTCGAGCGTGGGCATGGCATACACGATGGCTCTTTCACGTAGCTGGCCCCTGAATTCATCCCTGAAGCCTTTGCAGGTGCGGGAAAACCGGCTCAACGTTTGATCGTCCACCCACTTGGCGACTTCGAGAAGCAACTCGGTGGGCATTCGATGTGCAGCTGGGGTTTTAGACATAGTGGTCGTGTTTGATACATGCAAGTTGGATGGGCTCTGATACTATCCTAGACTGAAGACGCAAGAACCATCCAATCTATTTATATCATTGGCTTCTTGATGTGTTTGTTCTTCCATGGAGATTGGTTCTTGGTGGGAGCCGGAAATCTCCTATGGTATCAAGGACGACCATCGCAGAAGGTCGAATGAGTTTAGGGCATGGAAGTGAATCTTTCATTACCGAAGACCAGACGAAAAGGTGATCTCTCAATGCCCATGAAAGAATTTTTTTCATGGTGTTCTTTGTCTGAAGACAATATTTTGTTCTCCGGTTGACTCGATACAACTCGCCTATGAAATTTCACTTTGTGGACTTAATTAGTTTGGAATTTTACTCATAACCTCAGGCTCATGGTTTCAATAAGGATAAGGTAACGCAATAACGAGCTCTATCTGATTTGTCCTCTTTCTAAGCATATCTCCGCACAACCACTCTCCTCCTCTTACCTTGCTCAAATGTACCTATATCCTTATGATGAGCTCTATTATATTCAAAGACGACACAAACGTGTCAGAATGATGATTTCTATTATGTTTAAAGACGACATAAACGTGTCAGACCAATGTCTGTAGATGAATAGAGATAAGCTTGCCGACGTCGCTATACGGACATCCGCGCACCGCAAGCATTGTGTTTAGAAAGCATAGCGTCTTGTTCCAGGTCCACAACTAGTTCATGTCATGCTATGCAGTCCGGCCTTCTTGGTGGCCCGATTCAAGCATTGCCGAGCGTGAAATACTCGCAGCGGTGGAAAGCCATGGTACCAAGCCTCATATTTGGTTATAGGATACAACCATACCTTGTTTCTCCCGGGGACGGCAGGAGAATTTCGAATCCTCATCCAGATCCTCCAGTCACCCATCTACACGGCAATCTCCGACCCCATCGTTCTTGGTACTTTGCTTGCCCAAAGGCATCGAAGACGATGTCTTGGATACTGGACTGCTCCCTGCAGATGCCAATGATGTGAATTCCAAGGGATTGAGACGTTTGATGAACATGTTGTAATGTCCAATGGGGCGGTTGTTGCCGGTCGGAAAGTCCTCTCTGCAGTGCACAATGCTGTACAGTCCTTCCTGCTTTGATCTCTTCGTGTTGAGTGGCTTGGGAATTAGGGCACGCAGGGTTCAGCCCAGCCCGCTTGGGATTAAGGCAGTGTTGGATGTTGCCTAACACAACACTTTGAAGCGTCGGCTTCCTGCAGTTTGTGTGGCTGGCTGAGCCATTTGTGGCTTTCTTTCCTTTTCTTCTCTGACTTTTTTTGCTGCGTTGTCAATGGTGGACTGAGTCTCATGATTCTGTCCAAACCATAGAATCGGGCTTGACTCGGAAGCTTTTGTATGACCCGAGCCACAACATACACTTGCAAACCAATGGCTCGTCCAGAGCAAAGCAGTGAGAGGGTACCAAGCTGCGGGGCATTAATGGTTTGCGCTATGGGGGCTTTTAAGCGACAGCTGAGAAAGTGGGGATCGACTGACGTGTCGGCTTCATGCAGGTCCGTCACATACCTGTCGGAGTAGATTACGAACACGTATTTTTCGTTTTGCTGAGGGGTGTTCCAGAACATCTCGTTCGCAGGCAACTAGGAGATAGCCGAACTGCCTGATCTATACTGCAGAGCTGGATAGTTGCTCGGGGCTTCAGAGTTTGACCCGTTTCAAGCTCTCAACCCGGGGTATATATAGAGTCGAGGAGTGAAGGCACGGACAAAGAATATTTGCCCTCAATCTCCCGACCACCTAGCATCGGTTAGCCCTGAAGCCCCAGACAGCTGGATATCATGTCTTTACCATCCAAGCCCCCTACCACCGTCATCATCATCGGGGCCGGGATCTCAGGCCTGGTCACCGCCTGTCAACTAAAACGCACCTACAACCTGGACAACTACTGTATCTACGATCGACATCCTGGCGTAGGAGGAACGTGGTGGGTGAACCGATGTCCGTTGCCCCTTGCCCGATGTATCCGATCACCCTACTGAGAAATGCAGATCCGGGCTGTGCCGTGGACGTGCCAGGGTTCTGCTACACCTTCTCCTTCGCCCCGAACCCCGACTTCAGCGAATGGTTCCCCTCGCAGGCCGAGATCCTGGACTACCTGACCAGCGTCGCAGACCGCTACGACGTCACGCCGCATTTCACCGGCAACACCGAATGGGTCGGTGCCGCCTGGCAGGACACCACCCGCACCTGGGTGGTCACCTTCCGGGACCGCTCGACCGGGCAGCAGTTCACGCAGGAATGTCGGATCCTCATCTCGGCGGTCGGGGCGCTCGTCAATCCGCTCCCATTCACGGCCCCGGGCATTGAGCGATTCGAGGGACAGATCATCCACACCGCAAGGTGGCGCGAGGACGTGGACCTGCGTGGCAAGAAGGTGGCGGTTATAGGCAATGGAGGTAGGGCTGGAGCGGGAAAAGCCCTTCCATGGCGAGAGCTATGCTGACCACGACCGCAGCATCGGCTATCCAACTAGTGCCTGCGATTTGTGAGCAGGCAAGCTACGTTACCCAATTCATGAGGGTGAGTTTGCTCTCTGCTCCACCTTTGACTCTTCCTTTGTAGGGTTGAAAAAACAACCCCATCCACTAAGACTGTGGCGCAGACACCGCACCACATTGTCCCGAGCACGAACTACGGCATCACTGAAGCATGGCGAGCAATCTTCCGCTATCTCCCGTTTCTGCTGTGTTTGCTCCGGTGGGCGCTGTTTGTGTACATGGAAACCGGGTTCTCGCAGTTCCAGCGCAGCAAAGAGGGCCGTGTGAATCGAGCAAGCGCCGAGAAGGCGAGTCGGGAGTATATACACAAAGCTGCACCGGGTATGGATCTCCGCCATTTGGGGGTAATTGCAAGCGACAGGGGACTAACGGGTTCGCGCAGAAAAATACTGGGATTTACTAATACCGCAATACGAGTTCGGCTGTAAGGTATGGGCGGGCGCGCGCGCTGTGGCTTCGCTGAACTGAAAGTGACCTAACCATTTGTTCTGTTCATGCAGAGACGGCTGTTCGACCGGAGCTATTCTGCAGCTCTACATGGAAACAATATTCGCCTAACGAACGACCCCATCGCTGAGGTCAAGCCACGCTCGATCGTGACACGTTCCGGGGAGGAAATTTCAGCCGACCTGATCGTAAGCCTCTCACCAGACCACTGGTCCCTCGTTAGCGTGAACGGGGCAGACTGACTCGTGGCTCCAGCTTTTGGCAACGGGATTCGCCCTGACGCACTACGAGACGCAGCTTCGGGGCCGGCATGGCCGAACGCGTGAAGAACACTGGCAACAGTATGGATCCAAGGCCGCCTTCAAGTCGATTGCCATGAGTGGATTCCCGAACTTCTTCTACGTGCTGGGCCCGAACTCGGGTGGGGTCCACACGTCGACGACATTCCAGATTGAAAGGTCGGTTGGGCTCGCATGCAGCCTCCTGTGTCTCTGGCTGGCTAGCTGACCAAGTTGATAGTTACGTGGACATGATCATCGCTTTGATCAGACCGGTGCTGCTGAACCAGGCTGCTCTGGTCGAGGTCAAGGTCGGCAGTGAGAAGGAGTATACCAACGAGCTTCATGCGGCGATCGATCGTACAGTACATGACAGCTCCTGCTCTAGTGTGCGTGATGACTGTATCCCCACTTTCATCGAATGACGGACATGACTGACGGCGATCGCAGTTCTTCATCGACAAGTTGACGGGCAAGAATTGGTTCCTCTACCCTTGGAACTCTCTCCACCTCTGGCGGTCCACACACTGGAATATCTCTGCGGACTGGATCTACGAACGGTGAAGCTAGAGCTTTTTTTTTTTTTTTTTTTTTTTTGTTTTTTTTTTTGTTTGTGTGAACAGGCCAGCTCGACCGTGAGGGTAACGCCCGCAAGGTCGTCAACTGCTCTTGCGTTGTCGTTAAGGACTGGGGAGAGGAGTCCCAGGAGCGCTCCGTCAGATCGACCCTATAAATGCAGGATGCCGTTGTTCTTCTTCTTCTTTTTTTTTTTTTTTTTTTTTTTTTGTCTGCATCATTTTTGTTCTTCCGGAGCGACCCGAGCAGGTGTCATTCTGTGGGTTTGGGGCTGGCTGGCTGAACGCGCTTCGGCTGGAGATTTCAGCCACATTTCTTTTAGCGTCATGCCAGGCGTCCTTTTGCGGTTAGACCGATCTGTTGGTCCTGTATAAGCAGCTTGTTTGGTTGTCTCGGTCATGGTATTTGCAAGTTTGATAAATTAAGGTAATTTGCTTGTACTGTTGTATTGGTGTATTGGGTTGGGAAATCTTTTTCGACAGTGCTAGGGGAAGAAAACAAGCCTCTTGGCTACGGCATTGCCGATACGGCTCAGCTGTAGGCATCAATTCCAATGTATAAAGCTGCTCCCTGCAACTGAAATCATTTAACAAGACTTTTGTACAGCTCTCCATTTTGTGCTCTTCATCCCATTCTCGATTCTTTGTTGTCCTCTATTGAAAGGGTGTCGGTCAATGCACAATGCCGTACGAAGACCTCGTCACTCTAGCCCTGTACGCCGGCCTGAGGCACCGAAATGCGGCCTTCCTCCTGACAGCCCTAACAGCACTGGGTGCCCTGCTTCTGTTGACGCCATGCCTTGTTCTAATCTTCATGTTTTTGCGCCTCTTCTTGGTATCACGTCAAGTGGTCCCCCTCTCCGATGAACCGCGATCAGTCCTCGGAAAGCCCCTGTTATTTCCCGTGCAGCTCAATCATGTGCGCTTCAACCCCGTCAAGGACCAATTCGCCAACAGATTCCTGATGATCGGCATCCCCGTCGGGATGCGCGCGCGCTATGGCAACCTGCTCGCGATCGACGACAAGCGGTTGACACTCCGCGACTCGACGCATGCGGGTCCATCGTGGAGGTCCTTCCTGGCGCAGGCGACGTGCTGGCTCAGTGTCGACGGGGAGCGGTACCTCCACCGCGGGGATCAGGATCTCGATATGCGGGCGAAGTTGGATCGATACTTGCGGAAAGAGGTACTGCTCCTCCTTTCAGGAAGTTCAGGGGTATAAGCTAACAGCAGCAGAACGAGGACCCCTCCCAATGGCCCCACGCGTACCTTCTCACCGTCCCGCGGTTTTTCTGGTGGTCGCGCAGTGTCGTGACGTGGTGGTATCTCTACAACGCCGACCACGAACTCGACGCGATGATCATGGAGATCAACAACTCCTACGACGAGAAGCGCAATTACTTCTTCCGGGTCGAGCGCGGCGAGAACCCCATCCCTGCTACGGAGAAGGGGACCGAGACCGACAAACCTCACTTCCTCGACAGCACCTCCACCATCCGCACCACATCCTCCCATCCCAGATCCACTTACTACAAGGGCACCTGGCAGAAATTCATCTTCGCCTCGCCGTTCGAGAAGGTCGACGGCGCCATCGCGAACCGGTTCATGGATCTGGCGCACGGCGCCGCGTGGAAACCCAATGCCACGCTGCTGAACACTAACACGTTGAGCCCGGAGGGGAAAGTCAAGATGGTCACGCGGATCACCTGCTGTGGCGCGCCGCTCGATCCCGCGCAGATGGGTTTCACGGACCTGGCGCGGATTGCGCTGCGGTGGACGCTGCCGGGCGTGCTGACGACGCCGTATATCGTGCTGGAGGCGTTGCGCATCCGCTGGAAGGGCCTGATGAAGATGATGGATAAGACCCCGGTGCGCAGTGGGAGTATCGGGCGCCATCCGACCCGGGCTGAACGGTAGGCCTCTCCCCGTGCATGCTCCCTGTTTGAGGGTTATACTGACAATACCCCTTGCTAGGCAACTCGAACCTTTCTTCCGCGCCTATCTCGCCCACTGTGTCTCCTCCTCTCCCGACCCGGTGGAACTAACCTACATCCCCTGCCGCGCTTTCTCCGACGAGACCATCCACATGAGATCCGCGTCATGCACTTCCGAAAGCACAACTGTGCGGACCGTGACCGTTGAAGTCCTCGATCCTCCTTTCTACACGCGCATCGTCAACTACCCCACCGCCTGGGAGGGACTATCGACGGAGATGCGCGCAACAGGCCAAGAGGCCGATACTGTTTCGCAGAACATCGCGGTCTCGGACCCAGCATTGCTACAGAAGATCGTGAGCTCCTCGCCCACTCCGAGGGATAAAGGGCATCGTGCAGTATCCGGCGGGTTTCCCATTCTGGGCTGGTGTCGCTGGCATTCGACGCCGACTTTCATGGATGCCTTTGTGACGACTGAGCAGACGCTCTCCATGCAGAAAACGTATGCCATCATGGTGATGCGGTACCTCCTTGCGCCGGGGGTGGCGTACTCGCCGCTGATCTTGGATGCGCTTGTGGAGGTATCGCTCCTCGTGGTGGGCGTGATAGGGCGAGCAGGCTTGCTGGAGGTTGTCTTGCGGCAGAGGAGGATGACGGGATCGCCTATGGATGTTGCAGTGCAGACCCTGATGAGCGCGGTGGTCTACTTTGTGGGGATGAGGGGGGTTGGGGTCGTGCGAGATCGTCTCCTTTCGGGCAGGTATAGTCAGTCGTTGGACATGTTACTAACACGTTGAGTGGGATCTTATTGAAGCGTTGTTATCTCCTTAGCCACTGCATATAAACAGTCTCGATTCATGTATATCCATTGTGAATTCGCCATGTCTAAGATCAGCACATATTTTATCCCTATTACCAAGCAACATCCTTCACCGTGCTCGCCCTCCCACCTTTCAAGTTCATTATGTCTGAATCTGCCCACGGAGACGATTATAAGTGAAATTACCCTCGCTATCGTAGTCTGAAGAAACCTCAACCCTTCAAACAGTCTTTGCCTGCAAGACACATGTGCACAAAGATGAGCATATTCGCGTAAAACTGCCAATTTTCCAGAAGCCCGTCCAGCCACAGTGGACCCGCCCAGATGGGTCTCGACCGGTCCGGTGGGTCCGTCTATCGCGAGTTCGGTACCTTCAGGGCAAGACTAGTTACCGAAGACTTGGGATGGTTTATGTATTGTGTTGTCATCTTTGATTCCATCGAGGCTGATGCAGTGGGCTGGTAGCTTGGAAGTTGGTGGGCACCGCGTTCTAGTCACCGAATGCTTGGGAAGAAACCCCTTCGATCCACAGCAAGCGGGCACTTGCGCCCGATCGGCCGAATCCAAAACCCTTAGGGCGTGGGCATCAAACTGCCGAGACGGTTGGTTTCGTCGGTAAATACGGCTGGCTTTGGTCTGGCAAGAGTTTTGGGGATGTTGGTCATGAGTACCCATGGTTGTGAAGGTAGGTCAATGGTCTCCACTATTAGCATACTTGAAGGATAAGCTTCTGAAGATTTCATTCTCTTTCTCTCGAGTCTCTGTCTAACTCTTTGTCGTTTCCTTTCACCAGGAGATGAAAGCATCACGAGTAGACGTATATAATGCTTTGTGGACAACGTTCTCGAGGAATAATAAATTGGGGGCTAGTAATACTTTATCTAAGCACTGCGAGGGTCGTGACTAGGAGCGTCTTATACTCGTTTTAAGCTGCTTTTATGCTCATTGGTATGGTCACTTGAGTCTACGCGCAACAACAGTGTCTCCCTCGGGAATCTTCTCCGGGCAAGCTCATCAGCATTGCCATGAACCTCCAAGCAACTGCCACACAACAGTCCTTACAAGCTATCAGTGCAAGCATCTTGCCACCACTCCTGCTCCCCCTCTCGTCTCAAAGCACAACAATTCGATCCATCCCCTCATTTATCACCCGGAGTTCCTCCCGAAACCCTCCATCAACTCCTGATCTATTCTCTCCAAAGAAACACCTTCTCACCCTATATATAAAGGAACACGTACCAAGCATGCATGGCCAAGGAACCTCGCACAGGGTAAACCAGTGCTCATCATCACTGCCTATACTCAAGAAAAGGCCCACAGAACAGTAACTCTACCTACTCCGCAAAAGGCCAAACAGGTACGCCCGGACGCAACTCCTCGAGAAAACCAGCAAGTCGAGCTCTCCGAGCGCAACCGCCATGGCAAACACGACCGGGATTCACGCGCTGCCCCCGGAGCTAATCCTCAGCTGCGGCGAGTACATGACCCCCAAGACTGCGTTCGCGCTCTCGCTAACCTGCAAAGGCCTCAGACGAGCACTAGCCAGCCTCATCGCCGAGATGCGCGAGTGCTGCCTCGCCGAAGCGGTGCACTACCACGAGCTCACGTACCTAGCCCCGGACGCGAAAGGCCATCCGCGGACGCGCACGTACCGCACGGCGCGTGCACTGCCACCCCAGCCTCTCGTCGAGGCCGTGCGGGCCGGCAATGCAGGGCTCGTGACGAAAGCGCTCACGAGGTTCCACATCAGCGCGGACAGCTACGATCTCCAGGCGCAGCCGCTGGTGCATCTGGCGGTGCTGTACAGGCATCCGGAGGTTGTGGAGGTGCTGCTGAAGCATGGCGCCGATCCCAATGTCACGTCCAGTCGGCTGGAGATGGCGCTGGATTGCTGGGCCAATAAGGCGACGGCGGAGGATGTTGCGGTGCTCAGGCTACTGTTGGACGCCGGGGCCAAGTGCGCCATGCCGCGTCTGCTGGATTATCGGGCACGCACGCTGGACCTCGAGCTCGGGCTCGTGGAGCGGATGGTGAGGACGGGGTTGGAGTCGGGTCTGGTCTTGGAGGAGCTGTTTGATGATCAGATGTTCTTCCAGGCGCTGCGCTACGCGTCCCCCATGTATGTGCGCGTGATGGTTGCGATGCGTCCGGTCTTGCTGCAGCTGACGTCGCTTGATGGTCGCGGTCCGGTGGCGTATGCCGCGGATTGCAACCGGCCGGATATGGTGGCTTGTTTGGTGGAGTTGCGGGCGTGGGATGCGCCGTCTTTCTAGTGGTAGATGATCCCTCTTTCTGTCTTCGTATGTTCTATTAAGTAGACGAGTACATGATTTCATATATACGCTATATTTTTGTTCTCTCCCGTGATACCGTGGGTTATAGTGCAGGGTTGTGCATGCCATCAATTGTGAATGTCATGGCTGCAGAATAGGCGAATAGGCTACTACTAAATTGATTAGGCAAATATTGCACCTGATCACAGCAATCTATCTTCGGCCGGATGGGGAAGCAGTTGAGGATGAGAAGACACATCCTGCCGGCTAGGGCTGGATAGGATGATACCCTAGACTGAAGGAAATAGCTTCATCTGTAATGCGCTTAACGAGGACGAGTGTCTGTCAATCAGTGGACATTATCAGCACCGTAGTAAGCTTTGTATCATGTTTATAATACGTGAGATCCTCACTTTCGTCTCCTAATTGTGAGTGCAATCTCTTGTTGTTGCTACTCAGCACCGGGATGATGTAGCCCTGCGCATAGAAACATGCTACCGACGCATCCTCAATTATATGAAGTTGACTTGATCTCTTCTTGCCTCCACTCAGAAGGAGCTCGCCTGACTCTACCCGAAAACATCAATCTTTATGCAGATGAACCAAGAACATAGCACTAACAAAGGACTGTCAAAGCTTGTTGCTCAAAAGACCGCTCTAGCGCTGTATACAATACCTTTGCAACCATCTATCCAGGTGTATAACCAAAGCCAAAACCAGATACTGCTTCCCGAATTGATATCAACGCTCTTTCATCCCGCCGGAGGACTCCATACGTTCTGACCCATGAAAGAAGCCCCCCGTTCAATGCTCATTATCTCTTTCTCGCCCCAACCATTCCCGTGCAAAGATAGCGTATATAAAACCCTCAAAACCAACCCCTCGCCCATCAAACACCCTCACCTCCCGTGCATCGTATCACCCAAACCTGACCGTAAGTCCCATAACCAAGAGCCCAATCCCCTAACCCATTTCTGTTATTATTCCCACCCCAACCGACACAATGTCCAAGCCCTCCCACAGCGCAATAGCGTACTTCATCGTCGAAGGCGGCCTGGTCGCTCTCGAGGACCCCACCGGCCAGGGTGACCACACCCTCGTCCAGACGCAGGCGTTCCGCGACCACGCCGGCCACGTCTGGGCGTTCCGGGCCTGGATCCCGGCCGGCGTGGCGGCGGACCAGCACGCCGACAGGATCGCCGACGGGCTGGCGCAGGTGGTCTTCCGGCTCGATCCGCAGTTCCACCCGCGGACGGACGCGGTGATCGATGCAGTGGTCACGCCCGAGGGGCGAGACGAAGCAACGTCCGGGGCCTGGTATCAGATTCGGTATGAGGGGGAGGCGCCGCGGTGGAGCTGCGTTGTCGAGCGCGTGGCGCCCAAGGTGCATCTTGTGGGGATGTTGCGGGGTCTCTCGAGGAAGGAGGCGGGGGGTAGAAGGGTTGTGCATGAGCCGTAACAGACTGTTTTTGTTCTGAGAGGGGGGATGTCTCTGGCTTTCATCCCTCTGTTTGTTTCATTTACATCAATTGATGACTTGTTCGACTACTTTTCCTGACTGCCTGTATATATCGCCCAATTGTAATCTTAGTCACTGACTCATGAAGCTTGTTTGTTCTAAGACCAAGCTAGGCTTCTAGACAACAACTCACAGCGAACCTAAATGTATCGTACGTAAAGAGTGCGACTCTTGAATCATATAACTCTTTTAACAAAACATATTTCACTATCCTGCGCCCCCATACTTCGGTCTCCCCTCGAGCTAATTCATAATATCAACAACACACATGGATACCAGCTGCAGCAAACTAATCCAAAACCCTCACTCCGACCAAATCCGCCCCATAACTCTGCACCCCCTCGCCCCCGCCCACATTCCCAACCACGACCTCATTCCCCCCCACCGTCCACCCATCCACGCTCACCCCGAGCGTCGCACTATCCCACCACCCCAAACCAGGCCCAAACAGCTCGCTGTGCCGACCACTCAGCGGCACCTCCAGCCGCACCGGCGCCCCGCCATTCACAGAAATCGTCAGGTTGCGGGCGTTGCGGCCCTCGTTCCACGACGAATCGAAGGCGATGTCGTTGTTGATGTAGTCCACTTCTACGTACTTGGTGCCCGCTGAGGAGGCGTGGATGGTTGTGCTGGCGGAGCCGGACGGGGACAGGTAGCCTAGTTTGCTGCCGACTGGGAGGCAGTACCCTGCGCCGCAGGTGGTGAGGGTTGTCGTGCCGGAGAGGGTGAAGGTTGTGCTGGGGGCGTAGGTTCCTTGCGGTGGGGTCAGGGTGATTGAGGCGATGGGGAGGGTGGGGGTGGAGGGGTGGTGGAGGGTTAGGGTTGCGTTGGAGGAGGCGGAGAGGGAGAGGGGTGTTGTGAGGTTCGTGGTGGAGGCTGGGATGGTGAGACGGGTGGTTGTGTTGGAGCCGGTGGAGAGGAGGATCGTGGTTGGAGAGGAGAGCGGTTTGGAGAGGGTGATTGTCAGACTGTAGTTCTTGCTGGTGGTGAGGGCGTAGATGGGCGAGAACGTCGTGGTGGTCCTGCATTGCATCTCACGGTCAGCTCATCGTCCAGCAGAGTAGTTCCGCGCACTTACCCTGATGTTTTCCCAAACACATCCCCAGGATAAACCCCCTCAGCGATGGTTTCCCCCAATTCCAGCAGCATCGTCCCATGGCCCGCCACCGTCGCCGTGTACGATGTCCGCACCCCCTCCGCCACACTCCCCTCCCAGATATTCTTCACACTGCCGGCATACTGCAGCCCAATGTCCGGCAGATCCAGGGTCAACTCGCGCGACTCGTTGCGCCAGTTCACCAGCGCCGCGACGGCCCTGCCCCCGGACAACGGCCCGCTCCACACCTCGTACTCTTCCTCCGACCACCGACGCCGCAGGCTCGCGCTTGTGCCCAGCGCATCCTGGTTAAACGCAATCACATCCTCCTGCTTGAGGACCGCCAACGAGCTCTCACTAATCGCCGTGGCTGCGTCCCGCAGGGCAGCCCCGATGACTAGCGGACTCTTCAGGATCGCCCACAGCGAGAAGTGGGTCTGCTCCTCGGGCAGCGAAAACACCCCGTTGCCGACCTCCAGCATGTCGAGGTCGGGCCACTGGCCCGGTCCGGCGACGTCAGTCTGCGGCACAGCCTGGTTGAGGATGCGGTAGATGGTGCGCCACGCCGGGATGATGTCGTTGCCGATGCGCCAGGTGTGGCCCAGCGAGGGGGCCCAGAGCGCGGGGAAGTCCACGCCCCAGTCGCAAACTTGAAACAGCACGGTGCGGTTCAGCTGCGACAGGGCCTGGGACATGGTGGCGTAGCGCGAGGAGGGAGAGGTGCTGGGCGCGTAGTTGACGTTGGGGAAATTGGTCGCTGCGTCGGAGTAGCAGTTGTCGTCTAGAGTCAATGTGAGTCTCCGGGGTTTTGGCAACGGGGTTTGTGTCTAAGCGGGGGGATTACATTTCAGAGAATCTACCTTCCAGGAGGCAAATGTCTGAGCATCCTGTTCTTCGTGACCTGTAGCGAGCAGCAGTTAGAATCTCACCCATTGCAACATTGGGCGCAGGAGTATACCTAAGTTGCCCGTGTTGTTCGGCGGGCTGCCGCATAGCAAAATCCCTGCGTCTCCGTAGACCCCGAACAACAGCCCCAGATCGTGAATATACTCTCCCAGCGCTGGGAAGCCCTGTGGAAACAGCTCTGGATTCCAGGTAAGGGATCCATCGGCCAACCGGTCGGCCACCGACCACCCGCAATCGGTGGTGACATAGCGGTAGCCCAGCGAGTCGAGGCCCAAGTCCACCAACGCTTTGGCATTGGACCGGACGATAGTCTCATTGGGGGAGCAGGAATAGTGGTTATATGTGTTCCATCTGGATGCATTAGCTCAAGTCCATCCGATCAAGGCGTGAACTTACCCCATCGGTGGCGTTTGGGCCAATCCATCCTGCAGTCGTGGGTGAAGCGACGGTGCAGCTGCAGCCGCAACCGACAGCAGAGACACGGCGAGAATCGCAGACATGGTTTGGAATCCGGGGTATGAGGAGGAGGATGACTTCGGAGGTGGATCTGCGCATTTATAGCCGTATACTGCATGGTATGAGGGGAAGTTGGCGAGGCTAAGCCAAAAATTAGCCGAAGCCCTGGATTGATGCCTCTCCGTCACACTGCATTAGCCTCCGCAAATTAACCGGTCCTGCAGAATCGAAAATGAGGGGAAATGAAATCGTGCCATGCTGAGCATGACGCTGGGTTTGCAGTTTCCACCAGTCAGCGTGTGTTGCCCAAGTCTAGCTGATTCAAGCTGTCGTACATATTCGTTCAATGTTTGGCGGGCTGTAAGGTTTGCTGGAGTCATGTAATCGCCTGCTTCAAGGAAAAGTCCAGCCCTTCAAAGCGATGGCTTCAACCTTTCCTGCGTCCAGGTATGATTCGACCACTCTCATATAGACTGCAAAAGCATTCAATCTGATCAAAGGTAGCAGAAGCGCGATTTCTAATCATGAAATGAGCTTCATTCATCTGATAGCATTCCAACTATTCAGAGTCGTCGAAAAACCGCTGTCAAAGTCGTCGTGATTTGTTGCATGCATGCAGCTTGTCCAGCTTTCCAGAAGCCCGATGCACCAATCCTGCTCCATAGATCAGCATCCACGGAAGCCAGCCGCCTCCCAACCTCGCATGGCCAGCAAAGCAAAGCATATGCAGAAAACACCAGGAGCCAACTGACCTGACCATCGCCATGCAGGTCCTTGACCATTTCACACCGCAACTCTGTCGCCACGCTTCACTTATAAAAGGAGCTTATCAATAAAGCAATAAAGGCCAGCTGCACTTGCCCTTCAAGTACCTCCAAGGAAATTGCAGATCATCCCTAACCCCCTCCCCTCCTCCTACCCAACCAACCCAAAAGAACAGCCCCCAAAATGACCAAACACCCCTTAACAATCGCCCTCATCTACGAAGACCCCGCCGTCTACGCCCTCCACCACCACCCCGCCGCCTCCCTCTCGCACCTCGAAGTCGGCGCCGCCGCGCCCGCCATCACGACCGCCCTCCAATCCCAGGGCCACACCGTCCACCCGATCCCCAGCATCCACGCCCTCCTCGCCCACCTCACTACTCCCGAAACCCCGAAATGGGACCTAGCCTTCGACATCACCGAGGGCGTGTACGGCCCCGCGCGCGAAGCGCAGGTCGCCGCCGTGCTGGAGGCGCACCGCATCCCGCGCACCTTCTCCGACGCCGCGACCATGGCGCTGTGTCTAGACAAGGGGCGCACGAAAATGGTGCTGGAGCATTTCGGGGTCGCGACAGCGCCGTTTGCGGTCGTTCATTTCGATGACAGTCCCCTAAAGAAGGAGTTGAGCGGCGAGGAGATCCTGGGACAGATGCGCCGCTCACAACATGCCGAGACGCTGCTCGGGCCCGGGGGGTGGCCGCTGTTCGTCAAGCCGTTGGCTGAGGGGTCGTCCAAGGGGATTGCCCTGGGGAATCGGGTGGCCTCGGAAAAAGAGTTGGTGCGCGTGGTGAATGCGTTGCGGGCGGCGAGTCCCTCTTCTTTGGGGGTTTTGGTCGAGTCGTTTCTCCCCGGGAGGGAGTTTACGGTCGGGATTCTGGGGACGGGGGTGGATGCGTGGGTCGTTGGGGTGGATGAGATTGTTTGGTCGGGAGCGAAGGGGGACAAGGGCACGGTTGAGTTCACGACGGAGAAGTCCAAGTCGTCGGATGATTGGAACGGGGAGGCGGATGAGGTCAAGGTCACTCGCGAGGACAAGGAGGCAGACCTGGCTTGTGAGACGGCGTTGAGGGCGTGGAGAGCGCTGCGCTGTCGCGATGGGGGCAGAGTTGATGTCCGCATGGATGGAGCTGGAGTGGCTCATGCCATGGAGGTCTGTTTCTTTGAAGGCTCGTGTTTAAGTGGCGAGGTTGCTAACGCTCACAGATCAATCCGCTGGCTGGGTTGCTCCCTAGCTGGTCGCAATTGCCGCTCATCGCTGAGCATAACGGTGTCTCGTTCGATGAAATGATCGATCATATCGTGCAGAGTGCACTCAAGCGGACGGTTTCCCATACCGTTGTCTGAAGGCGTAGATATTAGTTAGAAAGACCCGTAAAAGTCATATTCAAGATCCAAAAAGCCAGTTGCTAGTTTTCCAACACTCGTTCAATATTCAATGAGGTATCAACATTAGGCATTATCGTGAACTTGTCCCAAAATAGACTCCGATCAAACTTCATTGATCTTCCTCTTCCACCGATCCCTCACCGACATCATCCAATCCTTCCACAACTTCTCCTTCCTCCCAATGCGAATCACCCCATCCTTCACCCCCATCCAGTCATCGATCGGCTGCGGCAGATACCGGTGACGTGCCCAGCAGCACTTGAACCAAAAGCCCTCGCCGGTCTCATCATAGAACGCGATCTGTTTCCGGTAGCAGTCCTCGCAGAAATCCA